AGCATTTCTTCATAAAAACGACTTTTATCGATCATTCAATCAAACGGTCGAGAAATTAGCCGACATTGTGAGTGTATGAAATCACGTCAGGTACCCTTACGAGGGGAGAGTATCAACTTTGGCGTTCGTAAACAGTCGTTTTGATGAAGCTGTGCTCTTTTAAGGACAGATCCATGAATTATAATTAATGATATATTTTGTACAGTCAGAGAAGCATAATACTAATCCAAGGTTTTTTTTTCAGTATATTCCAGAAGCAATGTTAACTATGGCAGATATCTCATCATTTGAGATCCTATAATCGTTCAGGTCAATTCACTTAGAAGCTCAACATCTGTCAGACAGTAATGGAATGAGATGTCCAAGATAAGTTTTCATGAACATTAAATTCAATTATAGATCGTATTTTTATTCTTCTTCGAACATTTCTCCATAAAAAACGACTTTTATCGAATGATATATTTTGTACAATCATGGAAACATAATACTTATTCAATTTTTTTTTTCAGGATTTTCCAAAAGCGTTGTTAACTATGGCAGATGCCTCATCATTTGGGATCTTATAATCGTTCAGGACAATTCACTAAGAATCTCAACATCTGTCAGACAGATTAATGGAATAAGGAGATGTCCAAGATAAGTTTTCATGAACATTGCATTCGAATACATCGTATGTTTATTCTTCTTCGATCATTTCTTCATAAAAAACGACTTTTCTCGATCATTCAATCAAACGGTCGTGAAATTAGTCGACATTGTGAGTGTATGGAATCACGTCAGGTACCCTTACGAGGGGAGAGTATTAACTTTGGCGTTCGTAATGCCTCTCTACAAAGGAGGGTGTCGCCTTCAAGAGTAAGGTATAAACAGTGGTTTTATACCAGTTTTTTCCAAATTATTTGTGCACTATAGGAAATCAACAGTCGTTGTTTCAATGGAGCTGTGCTCATTTAAAGATGATGTGAATTATAATGAATAATATATTTTGTACAATCAGAGAAGCATGATACTAATCTAATTTTTTTTTTCAGGATATTCTAGAAGCAATGTAAACTATGGCAGATATCTCATCATTTGAGATCCTATAATCGTTCAGGACAATTCACTTTGGAGCTCAACATCTGTCAGACAGTAATGGAATGAGGAGATGTCCAAGATAAGTTTTCATGAACATTGCAATCAAATAGAGATCGCATGTTTATTCTTCTTTGAACATTTCTTCATAAAAACGACTATAATCGATTATTCAATCAAACAGTCGAGAAATTAGTCGACATTGTGAGTGTATGGAACCACGTCAGGTACCCTTACGAGGAGAGAGTATCAACTTTGGCGTTCGTAATGCCGTTCTACAAAGGAGGGGGTCGCCTTCAAGAGTTAGGTATAAACAGTGGTTTTATACCCATTTTTTCCAAATTATTTGTGCACTATAGGAAATCAACAGTCGTTGTTTCAATGAAGCTGTGCTCTTTCAATGATGATGTGAATTATAATGAATAATATAATTTGTACAATCAGAGAAGCATAATACCAATCCAATTTTTTTTTCAGGATATTCTAGAAGCAATGTAAACTATGGCAGATATCTCATCATTTGAGATCCTAAAATCGTTGAGGACAAATCACTTAGGAGCTCAACATCTGTCAGACAGATTAATGGAATGAGGAGATGTCCAGGAAAAGTTTTCATGCACATTAAATTCAAATACTGATCATATTTTTATTCATCTTCGAACATATCTTCATAAAAAACGATTATTATCGATCATTCAATCAAACAGTCGAGAAATTTGTCGACGTTGTGAGTGTATGGAATCACGTCAGGTACCCTTACGAGGGGAGAGTATCAACTTTGGCGTTCGTAATGCCTCTCTACAAAGGAGGGTGTCGCCTTCAAGAGTTAGGTATAAACAGTGGTTTAAAACCAGTTTTTTCCAAATTATTCCTGCACTATAGGAAACAATAGTCGTTTCAATGAAGCTGTGCTCTTTCAAGGATAGACCCATGTTTTCTTTCATAGATGTGAATTATAATGAATAATATATTTTGTACAATCAGAGAAGCATAATAGCAATCCAATTTTTTTCTTTCAGGATATTACAGGAGCATCTGGCAGATATCTCATCACCTGACATCTAATAGTCCGTCAGGATGATTCACTTAGGAGCTTAACATCTGTCAGGCAGATAAATGAAATAAGGAGATGTCCAAGATATGTTTTCATGAACATTAAGATCAAATACTGATCGTGTTTTTATTCTTCTTCGAACATTACTTCATAAAAAACGACTTTTATCGATCATTCAATCAAACCGTCGAAAAATTAGTCGACATTGTGAGTGTATAGAATTACGTCAGGTATGCCTCTCTACAAAGGAGGGGGTCGCCTTCAAGAGTTATGTATAAACAGTGCTTCCATACCAGTTTTTTTCAAATTATTTGTGCACTATAGGAAAGCAATAGTCGTTCCAATGAAGCTGTGCTCTTTTGAGGAAATACCCAAGTTTTCTTTCATAGATGTGAATTATAATGAATAATATATTTTGTACAATCAGAGAAACATAATACTAATCCAAGGTTTTTTTTTCTCAGGATATTCCAGAAGCAATGTAAACTATGGCAGATTTCTTATCGTCATCATTTGAGATCCTATAACCGTTAAGGACAATTCACTCAGGAGCTCAACATCTATCAGACAGATTAATTGAATAAGGAGATATCCAAGATATGTTTTCATGAACATTAAAATCAAATACTGATCGTGTTTTTATTCTTCTTCGAACATTACTTCATAAAAAAACTACTTTTATCGATCATTCAATCAAACCGTCGGTCGAAAAATTAGTCGACATTGTGAGTGAATGGAATTACGTCAGGTATGCCTCTCTACAAAGGAGGGGGTCGCCTTCAAGAGTTAAGTATAAACAGTGCTTCTATACCAGTTTTTTCCAAATTATTTGTGCACTATAGGAAAGCAATAGTCGTTTCAATGAAGCTGTGCTCTTTTGAGGATATACCCATGTTTTCTTTCATAGATGTGAATTATAATGAATAATATATTCTGTACAATCAGAGAAGCATAATACTAATCCAAGTTTTTTTTTTAAGGACAGTCCAGAAGCAATGTAAACTATGGCAGATTTCTTATCATCATCATTTGAGATCCTATAATCGTTAAGGACAATTCACTTAGGAGCTCAACATCTATCAGACAGATTAATTGAATAAGGAGATGTCCAAGATAAGTTTTCATGAACATTGCAATCAAATACAGATCGTATGTTTATTCTTCTTTGAACATTTCTTCATAAAAAACGACTATAATCGATCATCAAATAGTCGAGAAATTAGTCGACATTGTGAGTGTATGGAATCACGTCAGGTACCCTTACGAGGGGAGAGTATCAACTTTGGCGTTCGTAATGCCTCTCTACAAAGGAGGGAGTCGCCTTCAAGAGTTAGGTATGAACAGTGGTTTTATACCAAATTTTTCCAAATTATTTGTGCACTATAGCAACAGTCGTTTCAATGAAGCTGTGATCTTTTAAGGATATACTCACGTTTTCTTTCATATATGTGAATTATAATGAATAATATATTTTCTACAATCAGAGAAGTATAATACTAATCCAAGTTTTTTTTTCCAGGATATTCCAGAAGCAATGTAAACTATGGCAGATTTCTCATCATTTGAGATCTTATAATCGTTAAGGACAATTCACGTAGGAGCTCAACATCTGTCAGACAGATTAATGGAATGAGGAGATGTCCAAGATAAGTTTTCATGAACATTAAATTCAAATACTGATCGTATTTTTATTCTTCTTCGAACATTTCTTCATAAAAAACGACTTTTATCGATCATTCAATCAAACGGTCGAGAAATTAGTCGACATTGTGAGTGTATGGAATCACGTCAGGTACCCTTACGAGGGGAGAGTATCATCTTTGGCGTTCGTAATGCCTCTCTACAAAGGAGGGTGTCGCCTTCAAGAGTTAGGTATAAACAGTGGTTTTATACCAGATTTTTCCAAATTATTTGTGCACTATAGAAAAGCAACAGTCGTTTTGATGAAGCTGTGTTCCTTCAAGGATAGATTCATAGATGTGAATTATAATGAATAATATATTTTGTACAATCAGAGAAGCATAATACTAATCCAAGTATTTTTTCAGGATATTCCAGAATCAATGTAAACTATGGCAGATATCTCATCATTTGAGATCCTATAATCGTTCAGGACAATTCACTTAGGAGCTCAAAATCTGTCAGACAGATTAATGGAATTAGAAGATGTCCAAGATAAGTTTTCATGAACATCAAATTCAAATAAAGATCGTATTTTTATTCTTCTTCGAACATTTCTTCACTAGAAACGACTTTTATCGATCATTCAATCAAACAGTCGAAAAATTAGTCGACATTGTGAGTGTACGGAATCACGTCAGGTACCCTTACGAGGGGAGAGTAAACTTCTTCAATCCATACCAGGTTCTAAGTATTTGTTTCTTATCGTTATTATGTCAAGATTTCATATTGATCATGGTGACGTGTTTCTTTTTTTAGTGAAAATTCACATTCCAATAGAAGCTACACAGATTTGATATGCTGAAGAAATGGCAAAGATTGAGAATGAAAAGGAAGGAACTTGGAGAAAACAAACTCTGAAGATAGAAATCAACTGGAACAAAATGTGAAAATGTGGATCAGGGCTATTTGGTGTAACCACAATGAGAAATACATTTTATTACATCTCATAGGTAATGTGGAAACGAGTATTACATTGATGATGCTTGTAGGTGTGTTAGTATATTGTTTTGGTGTTTGCTGTGAAAAATCGAAACTTTCTAATTATCCAAGTTAGCTTCAATGGATAACTGAATTTCAATTCAGTATACAGATTCTCTGGTTTCAGTACAAGCCTTCTCCACATATTGAAATGTATGTTTGATCGAGCTTTCCAAAAGATGAATAAAAAATTATCAATTTCGTATCATACCTTCAACAACGTTTCGCTTGGTGAGCTCGCCAGCTCTGCTGATTGTTCTATCGTGAAATCTCGTGGAGGTTCTCGAAAAAAATTCCCGAGCAAATCACCAGATGGTTCCATCAAGATGGGCTCCTGCGGTTCTATAAGTGGTACTTCTTGCGGCTCTTCAGGTGGAGGTTCTTCCTTGACGATTTGGCTGTAGGAAGACGGTTGGCATAATAAATAACATGAGTAACTAACAATAAATAGACACCGCGTTTCATTAATAAATCATTGAAAGTATACGCCAACAATTCTAAACGCTCTAAACGCAAAACACGGATAAATGAATGAAATCGAGAATGGTGGGGATAACTCCGGAATCATTGCCAGTGACACGATATTCTAATAAAAATGTATTTCTATAAATATGTGTGCAATGCATCACGTGTTGAAACATAATAAGTCATTTCCTAACGGCTTCATGAGTTCATTTGATAATTTAAATATTTTAAACACGCGTTTCATCAACAATATCAAACAAGACCGCCACTGGACCCAATATCTACGTACATCTGAAATAATATCAGGTTAGGATATTCGTAATTAACTTTCTTTCACAGATTTGACACTGACTACTAATATTAAAGTTGTGAATGTGAGTTTGTTTGTTACGCTTCCACACCAAAACTACTCAACCGATAATCATGGAAGCATTGTATACTTATTCTTAGATGAAATAGAAAGGAATTTTTATTTTAGCAGACATGATTGTTGGTCAAAAAATGGTTTATTCTAGCAACTCAATATCTAATTGACTATAGCTTCAACTGTTCAGATTTTTTTCAATATCCAATGTTATTTTGTTCTGTCACATATAAGCAATACCACAGTAGATTGGCAATGCTCTAGTAGTAGCACCATTGATGTTCGTTACCCTGTTTTGTTTACTGCGCAACCATAATTTCATGCCTAGCACACCAGGGCATTATTTCAACACTTGGACACAAAATATCCAATAATTCAACATGAAACTCTATACGTCGGTACCTTAGATATTAATCAACAGGATATGTCTTTTGAGACTCGAATTATTTAGATGATGGAATGAAAATGACAAATATCTAACCTAACATCAGGGGGGCACTTCGAACGTAACCTAACCTAACCTAACCTAACCTGACCTAACCTAACATCAGGGGGGCACTTCGAAGGCGCAAATTCATTACAACATGGAAGATACCCTTCAGATTGTTTGCTATTCAGTGACTTGAATGACATCAACGTTTTAGTCTTGTGCGAAATCAAAATTCAGATGACACGAGTTGAATGTCAGACTCATTGATTTCTGAAGTGAACTTTATGGTGAGTCACTTTGCTCACATGATCCAGAAAATTATATAGCTTCATGATATTATGTGTCCGAAACATGAGAACATCTACATATCTCCATCATGTTGTTGGTTGTTTATCATGTTTTTGAAAAACTAGTATTTTATGCAATGATCATGTATTAATAGCTATTACATCGTAACATTACTATTGTTTACGACCAATAAATAATAACCTAAAAACAAAAATCTATTTCAAACTATTTATATGTCAAATATTAAAACATCTCCAATCCATGAATTGCTTGTACTTTTGAAGCCTTTGGATTGAATGTAAATTGAAATTAACGACCGCCGGCCGTTAAACAATCTTAACGGACGGAAGCTGTTAACATTCACTTTTCAATTGTCATCTGAATACCGTTAAATCAAAATAACAGTATGGGATTACGAAATAGTTATCAACGTTACAAGGCCAATATGTAGCAAATAACGGATGAGGTTGAATATTGTTAACCGAGGCGCCACCAAATCCGTTATTTGCGTATCGGCCATTTGTCTTTCAAGACTTTTCGTAATCTCGCTGAAAGATTACATTTTGATTTCGGGGAAAGAACAAACCACGTACCTCGTAATTCTACAGAAAAATCTCAACACTGTGTTGTTATGGATCAGTTAACGGCCGCTGGCCGTTAAACAATCTAAACGGACGGAGGCTGTTAACATTAACTTTTCAATTGTCATGTGGATACCGTTAAATCAAAATAACAGTATGGGATAACGAAATAGTTATCAACGTATCAAGGTCGTTATGTCGCAGATAACGGATGAGGTTGAATATTAACCGAGCGGCAGCCGAGGATTATAACAACCAAATCCGTTATTTGCGTATCGGCCGTGTGTCGTTCAATACTTTTCGTAATTTCTCTGAAAGATTACATTTTGATTTCGGGGAAAGAACAAACCACGTACCTCGTAATTCTACAGAAAAATCTCAAAACTGTGTTGTTATGGATCAGATAACGCTGGCCGTTAAACAATCTTAACGGACGGAGGTTGTTAAATCAAAATAACAGTATGGAATAACGAAATAGTTATCAACGTTACAAGGCCGATATGTAGCGAATAACGGATGAGGTTGAATATTGTTCACCGAGGCGCAGCCGAGGATTATAACAAACGAATTCGTTATTTGCGTATCGACCGTGTATCGTTCGAGACCCGCTGAAAGGGTACATGTTGATTCCGAGGAAAGAAGAAACCACGTACCTCGTAATTCTACAGAAAAGTCCCAACATCATGTTGTCATGGAACATCTAAACAATTTCACAATAATATTGTATCGGCCGCTGGCCGTTAAATAATCTTAACGAAAGGAGGCTCTCATCATTAACTTTTCAATTGTCATCTGAATACCGTTGAATCAAAATAACAGTATGGGATTATCAAATAGTTATTAACGTTACAATGCACATATGTAGCAAATAACGAATGAGGTTAGCCGAGGATTATAACAACCGAATCCGTGTCTCATGTGCCATGTGTCAATCAAGACTTTTCGTAATCTCGCTGAAAGATTATATTTTGATTCCGATATTGATATTCTACAGAAAAATCTCAACACCATCTTGTCATGGAACAGCTTAACAATTCCACAATAATATTATAACGGCCGCCGGCCGTTAAATAATCTTAACGGACGGAGGCTTTCAGCATTAACTTTTCAATTGGCATCTGAATACCGTTAAATCAAAATAACAGTAGATAGGTATGGGATTACGAAACAAATAAAAACCGACCTGGTGGGCGTTAGAGTTTCCTTTGTCCTATCTATCGTTGCTGCAACTTCGATTTCTGATTTTATGACCGGGACATGAGGTCTGGGCACTTCGGGAGGCTCCCTCTTCAAATTTTCTAGAGACATAGGCATCGAGGTGGTGAGATTCTCCAAAAGTTTCACGGATTGTCGCATTTTCTCCTGAAACAAAAACAAAATTTCGTCACTCACAACCTTCCTAACTCACGACAGAAAAAAACTCATTTACGGGGTGCTCATTCCACCCCTCCCAAGAAAAATTAGGTTGAAAAAGCTCTCCAAGATTGTGAGAACGAATCAAAAACCATTTGTTGTACAATCTTCTGTTCGCCTATGGCTCATGCTGCAAATTTCATTCTCGTAGGAAATCACTATCATTTCCTGCTTGTTAATCAATATAACTATTTTCTAAGGCTATAACACAAGATTGCTCTTGTTTTACTGTGTTTGATACATCAATGAGATACTTTGTAACTTTGTACGTAATGAATTTTATTTCCTTATCTGATATCACAATGACTCCATTGTGTTATTTGAAAAAAGAAACTCATCGCCCATGGAATGTCAAATTTCAAACAATGACAGCTCTGTCTAATAAATGAGCATTACTTGAGGGAAAATCAGATGGCGACAAGACGAAGAAATAAAAAATGCCGCTGTTATCTGTTTCTGCCGTAGAAAAATTATAGCGTATAACTTGCACGGAATGCCAATTTCCTACTCGATGGTTGCAGCATTCGACTATTGCTCATGCTGCAAAGTTCATTCTCATAGGAAATCACTATCATTCCGTGCTCGTTAAACAATAAACTATTGTGACACCATATGAAAGAAAATTGATTGCATGAATCCAATCTTCTTGCATTATTTTAGAAATTTCACGAGTATAACTATTAGCTCCTATTGCAGAAGGAATTCCGATCAGAAGTCAGAGAAATTACCAAATTCCAAAAATGAAAACTATATATGAGTGACTATAGTAGGTATTTACTTTTAAATCATAATGCACCAACCGGATTCCTTCGTCTTTCGCTGCAGTTTTTGTGAATTGTATAACAGCACAATGTAATGGCATGAACGAATAAATGAATAGCCGAAAAATACGATTCCTATGCCAAAATAATTGTGAAAAACTATTTCAATCACTTGAAAACAAATAAGAAAAGTGAGGTTGTGTTTCAATGTTGTGCCTCCAGGGTCGGTCATCTGACAGTTCTTGCACGCAACCCATAAGAGTACGGACACTATGACAAGCAGTGACAGAAGTCATAACCCTGAAAAATTTTAAATGACATGACCAATTAATCATTCCAGAATTACGTCATTTCACAGGTTGCTGAGGGGCAAACATTGTGTTTTGTCAAGATTTGTCATATAAAACCAGAATAAGTTGGATCGTTTTCCTTTGAATCCGAGTTGGAACCAGAAAGAATTTCATAATTTTGTTTGGTGAAACTGATATTATATTGTGGATGTGGCAGGGACAGCCAGGGCTATGCTCATCAAAGGTAACCCAACAGATAGTTTGTGTGCCCCTCAAGAAATCATGTCAAAATCACGTGTTCTAGAATGATCAATTTGGCGGGCACTGACAGTTCATGAACGAACATGACATTGAATTATTTGAAAATTCAGTTTTTCAAAAATTAAAATTGCCAATTGTGAAGTTGAGAACTACAAGAATAGAAGAGAATCATTTCATTTACTCCATTTCCCCCATGATAAACAATGGCTACAGAAATGGAAACAAAATATGCAGCGGCCATTGTGGAAATTGAGTTCAGCTAGCAAAATTATCGAAGATTTAGAGAGAAAATATGCAAACATTTAAAATTTATAAGTAGAGAATGAGAGATTTTGCGAATCCATGAAATCGATGAAAAATCAAGAGGTATTGAGTAAAGTTGCTATTTATGAGCAACATATTTCTCATAATTCTTGAACTATAATCATTATACTTGTATTTGTCGAATTTTCTGATCGATCATGCACTATAAAGTGTCTCAGTATTTTATGAGAGCAAATATAAGTTTGTTAATTGGTTGAATTGTTCTTCCCATTCATTTACATTTCGCTCAACAGAACTGGCTACTAAATCCTGAATCTTCTATTGAAAAACTAGTGCATCCTAAAATTAGATAAATTGACTCCACATATACCCTTTAAGTATATCGAGAAATCCTATCAATAAATTAAGTTACCCCTTATGGTCAGTGAGATGAGACGCCACTTCTTTATGAAAAGAAAGACAGAGAAATATATATGGATGTCTTTGTTCAACCAAACCTTCAGTCATTTTGAGAATTTGGGGTTATGGGTTGCGTGCAAGAACTGTCAGAAGTGTCAGATGACCGACGCTGGAGGCAAAACATTGAAACACAACGTCACTTTTCTCATTTGTTTACAAGTGATGGAAATAGTTTTCCACAATTATTTTGGCATATGAATCGTATTTTTCCGCTATTCATCAATTCGCTCATGCCATCACATTGTGCTGTTGTAAAATGCACAAAAACTGCAGCGGAAGATGAAGGAATCCGGATGGTACATTATGATTTAAAAGTAAGTACCTACTATAGCAGGGTTGGCATGAATTAATTCATATGAATTGAATCAGTGATTTAATTCGTGAATTAATTCCATTGACTTTTTTCGAAAAAGTCATGAATTCATTCAAATTTTTAAAAATAAGACAAATTGCACCATTACCTTTGATTTTAACTAGTTCAAACTGAAAAATTCGATCGTATTTTGGCAAGACTTTGTTATTTCAAGCATGATAGAGATTTTTACTAACAGATAAATACAGATATATATACAGTATCAGTATACAGTATCTTTATGGATGATATAAAGTCCATAACATATGAGAACAGGTTTATTATCACAGCATCGAATTTTTTTCTTTCAACGATCCATTATGCATATCCGATAACTTGAAAATAGATTTTGACACATGTCACGTGATCACTGGTATGGTGATAAATAAAAATAATACTATAAAGCGACGAAAAGTGGGGTTAGATAACAAAATATCCATAAACATTTCTTATCAAGTTGGTATTCCACATTCAGTTTTGAGCAATTTTTGGAGGAGAATTGGAAATAGCTATATTTTTTCGAATCTTCTTCAATTTTGTTACAATTCTCTATTTTTTCTGACAGTAGTGATGTTGATGATGTACAAGATGAATAGAATTCAATTTCATGCTCACATATGGAGTTTCCAGCCATTATTTGAGAAAACTGAAAATAGCTATTTTTAATTTTTTTAAATAACTTCATCTTTCCATCTAACCCCACTTTTTGCCATCGTAATCTTTTGAATTTACCGCCATACGAGTGATCAAGTGACATGTGTCAAAATCGACTTTTAAGTAGTCAGACATGCATAATAGATCCCCGAGAAAAAATGTTTCGATATTCTACTAATAAACTTTTTCTCCGTGTGTTACGAACTTTATGGATGATGAATTTTGTTTTGAAAAAATGACATGTTATATTATGATGTTCTTCTACAAGATTCCTGAAGAGAATAAAAATGTAGTTTTTCAGTTTCTTTTTTTCTATTTTGCTTTGGGTAAATGAAATTTGTTTGTTTTTTTTCAAATGAATTAATTCAAAATAGTCTGACTTAATTCAAAAAGTCGGACTTTGATGACTTTTTTATAAAAGTCATGACTTATTCCAACCCTGTACTATAGTAACTCATTTTTTAAATTTGGTTATTTCTCTGATTTCTCATCGGAATTCCATCTGCAATAAGAGCTAATAGAAATATACCTGAAATTTATAGAATAATGCAAGAAGATTGGATTCATGCAATCAATCGGGAGGACTGGTCTGACATGCTGACGATCGTGTGTGTTGTAGACATTTTCAATCTATTAACAGCATTAGCTTGTATTGCAGAAGTGGCAGAAGGCAGAAGGAATTTTAATAAGGAATGACAACATTTCATAATGATAACTATGTGAGATTACTATTTACCTGAAAAATCATATTCTTTAGTCTCTTGCTGCATTTTTTGTCCATTGTACAACAGCACAATGCGAAAAGGCATGCTCGAATTAATGAATAGCGCAAAAAACACGATTCGTATGGCAAAATATTGTGAAAAACTATTTCAACCTTCTGATTCCTCTGTGAACAAATGAAAAGTGAGGTTGTGTTTCAATAATTCACAGAAGAGTGAGGTTGTGTTTCAATATTTTGCCTCCAGGGTCGGTCATCGTGCACGTGACCTATTACTGCTAGGGTCCCTTGATGCAAACTGACGTTATTTGTCATCTAACAGGGTACGGACAGATCATAGCTCCTTTCTCTTTCAATCATCTAGTGACTTTGGTTTCATGTATTGGCGTCCCTGACATGACATTGCTGTCACGTCACATTCATAGGCGTTAAAAGGGATCTTACAAAATTTTAATTTCATACTTGATACTCAATACTACATTATTCAATTCTATTTTGAAAGGATGGTAAAATGTGCTGCGTTAGGCTGATCAGTTGAATGGCAAATTTGAATTTGTCAGCTTTGCATCGAATGCAAATGAACTTAGAACATGGAAAGTGAAGTGACCGAATGGGGAAAATTGGTAAATACATCAGCAAAATATTCGAGGTGAAACCAATACGAAATCACATATTATACTTTCTCATTGTGCCTATAATTATTCACCCCACAAGTTTTTGATTGCATTTGAGTAGAAACAGTTTTGATTGAACGAAGAGGCACCTACCATTTAAAAAAAGTATACCTACATTCAGGAAATATTAAGTATACATGAATATATATACATCACACATGACATATGAGCACATTAGTTGGAATACCTACATAAAATGTTTCACCATTTCTCATCCATAAGGCTTAGTCTGAAATCAAAATTCATTTATTGATAGGTACTGCCTATAAGAACAGTCCCATTTTGGTAAAACGTATTAAACTTTCAGAAAAATTTGCTCACTGCCTCACAAAGATTATGCTGGAGTTGAAAAATCAAAAACTCGAAAATTTTCATCATTTGGATATAGGCTATATTCCGAATTCAACTGACAGTACTGAATCTACTGATTTTTCATTCCGAAATAAAAAAAATCACTGAATGTGACAGATGCTTGTGAGCAGATATACTATTCATTCCAAATATTTCGACTCAACATTCTGCTGAATTTGCTGAGTATCAAAAGGTAGTGTGGCTTCAGTAAACTGTCATTATTTTAGAGGAGGAAGAGATGTAACATTTATTTCCGTTGTTAATTATATTATATTTTCGATATCAGAAAATACCCGTTATCGAAATAATAAACGCTGAGAATATAATATAGAGATTATATAGAGTATGAAGTAGAAGAGAGGTGACGAAAGAAGAAGCAGCATTGGGTAAATGAATATCTAAATAAACCTGAAATGTTTCCTGAATTCATCATCATTGATGCCATATTACATAAATGTCCAAGAATTCTTCATCACTCGAGCTTGAATCGTCATCGTCAACAATCTAAGAAACTATGAAGGCTACAAGGACCGATTGTTCTTTCATGTTAAATATTATATTTCCAAAATGTATGTCAAGCAGGAGGCAAAATAATCTCGTTCAGATAAACGAGATACTATATATACTGAAAATTTTCACCAGCTGATCAACTGCTGCTGACTACTGATGAAAACCATGAAAACGTGTTCCGAATTGAAGCACTGTATTTTTGATTTTATATTTCGGAACACATATTTTCAGCAGAGTCAGTGGATCTGCTGACAGTACTGACCAGTTGAATTCGGAATATATGTAGTGAGAAATTACATGTGGAAAATACGTATGATACGCCAATGTCCTCAATATAACGCGAGAATTGACCAGCCCCGGGGTTCATCGCGGGAAAGAGAAGGACGTATAACTCGCTCTCGCTCAGATGAACCTTTTTTCTTGAAGAAGGAGAATTTTTCTTGAGGAAGGAAAATATTGTTTCTGCATAAAAAATGAGAAAACCTAACCTATCTATTTTATGAGTATATCTGTACTTGTTTCGTTGACCTGTGTAAAACTTAATGTTTATTAACACCAAATAAAATATTCTATTCTATTCTAACCTAACCTAACCTAACCTAACCGAACCTCACCTCTGGCCTAAACCACAAACATAGAAAACCCCTAAATGAACCTATTTCCCATAGAGAATATTTTTTAGAAATCACTTGAGAACAAGGAAAAAATAAAAAAAAGATGAGCCTCGCACGGATTTGAACCCCGGCCCGCCGGCTTGGCATGCCGATGCTCTGCCTACTGAGCCAACCAGTTGCTTACGAGACGAAGTATGATGAAGTACTGTGCTTCGGCTATGTGCCAAATGCATTCTCGCGAGTGAGAGGGCATTATATGTCCTTCTCTCTCCCGCGATAAACCCCGGGGCTTGTCAATTCTCGCCAATATAACCTAAAAAACAACAAATGTCAGAAATCTAGTGTTTATCCCCAGAAATGAATAAAGATGGAACTATATAACTGTTTCACAAACACGTTAGAGTGAGAGGAGAGGAGGAGAGGAGAGGATCTGTTCGTACCCTGTTAAGATGACAAATACGTCAATTTACATCAAGGAACCCTACCCAAAACTAACTCAAACCTCCATGGAGTTACTCAATAAAAATCAAGATGTGCCATAAAGAAAGAAGGCATTCCAAAAACGAAATGCGAAATTAGAAGATCCGTTTATGATGTGATGTACCTTGGAATTCAAATAGAAATGTATTTATAATAACAGTTTTATCATCGGTGGATGATTAATAAGATAAGATAACAATATCGAAATAGTCGGGAATATAGCTATGATGAACACATACATAATTCTTATAAAGCTATAAAATGGCAAAACTTATGCTGGTGAGTCTTTTTCTACCTTACTAGAAATTAAGTCACGTGAAATACAATGTTTGGGTGGGAAATTAGAATAAAGTAGTAGAACAAAAATTCAAATTACCAACTATCCAATCCCACAGTAATAGCACCGTCATACGTTTATTTACACACTAGCTGTCCGATCCGGCTTCGCACTGTTGTTAAAAAAAAATAGACATTTGTTGCAGTCGTTCTGGGCTATGCGCGTATCTACAGGGGTGCGCCTTCTAGAATGTAACCCCCCCTTAACTCTTTTGTTTTCAGAGATGTGAAAAAATGTTGAATCAAAAAATTGTTTGAAACGACCCAAACTTCTATTTCGTGAAGTTGCTTCATATACAGGGTCATTGGTTTCACCGGAAAGGACATCAACTATGATTTTTTTAATGGTACACCCTATATATTTTCTGACATGTCGATAGAGCATTTTTTTCTGATTTCAATAATATATGAGTTGCATATTTGGATGAAAAATAATTGAGTTATTGTTTATCAAAGTTTACCAAAATACCGAATCTTTCATTGAAACTTTCTACTCATATTTTTTTTGTATTGAGATTAAACGATTTCAATTTCATAATAAACAATACTATGCCATTTCCACGGAGCTTAAACAATATATAAACGTTATTTCACAGCCCACTATATTCAACATACGCTAGATGATATGAAGTGAAGGTTCATAATGCGGAATTATGGTAGATTTTGATCATCAATAACCCAACTATTTTTCATCCAAATATGCAACTCATATATTTTTTTGAAATCAGAAAAAAGACTCTACCGACATGTCGTAAATTATATAGGGTGTTCCATTGAAAAAATCAAAGTTGATATCCTTTCTGGAAAAACGAATGACCCTGTACATGAAACAACTTCAGGAAATAAAAGTTTGGGTCGTTTGACACAACTTTTTTATTTTACATTTTTTCATATCACTGAAAACGAAAGAGTTAAGGGGGGTTTCCATTTTAAATTTCATTTTTTGATATTTTTTTCAATTTTCATGCTTACCTATAGCTACTATTATATACGGGATTATACAGGGTGTATCTAAATAACACCGAACAAATTCCATTTTTTCATATCACTGAAAACGAAAGAGTTAAGGGGAGGTTTCCATTTTAAGAGGCGCACCCTGTACATATTTTTTTGATATTTTTTTCAATTTTCATGCTTACCTATAGCTACTATTATATACGGTATTATACAGGGTGTATCTAAATAACACCGAAAAAATTCCAGAGGTATTTCCTTGTGACATTCTAGCTAATAAAGTTCATAATGAACATGTGTCCTAACTTGCTCCGTTTTGAGATACAGGATGTTGACGTTGGAAGTATTAATTGTTTATATTTATAACCCCCCTGTGTAAGCTTTCATGGTGCCAAAATCCAGTATGAATGGAGACTGAGAAAGCCCCAAAATTTCAGAATGATTCTAATTGGGGCTATTGAGTTATCTCAATGGAAGTCTTGAAAACACCTACATTAAAATTCGGAGTCAAATCGATTTTTTATTCTTTCTTCGAAAACTGAGCTAGATACAAAAATCACACAGAAGATAAAAAAGTTGTTATTACAATAGTACAATCCGGTGGCGTTCAATGACATTCACCATAAATATCGATAAATTTACCCACTATGACGCCACTGAAAATATTATTTCGAATCTAATTGCACTAGAAGAAGCTCCATATTACTATTTTCAAAACCACAACGTTTTTTCAGTGACGGGAAAAAAGTTTGGCATTTCATCTCTGTTGGCAGGTTATAAAATGTCACTTTTCATAAATTACTTTTTTCCCGTGGGAAAAAAGTGAGTACTTTTTTCCCGGATACTTATCACATATATATAATGTTGATGGCTTTTGTTGTGCTATAGTTCTGAAAAATAAGTCAATAATTAATAATAATAATCTCCGAGATAGAACTGCAAGTCATTTTATCTTCCATTCGACTTCACGGTTACATATACAGTGTGTCCCACTTACCATGCTCACCATGGGTATCTTTTCAACGGTGAAAGATACGAGGTCGGTTAAATGACACCAGATGTGGAGTTTGTCAAGGCCAACTATAATGTGAAAAAATATTTTGATAAAATATATTCGTTTTCGTTTTATACGCAAAAAACAAATTTTGATCATTTCCATGTCTCCTCCGTAACTTCTTTATTTATGAAAATATTCAAATAGGAATTCCACATTCTCATGGCAGTTTTTTAAAGTGATTTCGAAAAAAATATGAAATTCATACCAACTCTTCTAGAATTTGAGATATCAGCACCAACTTTAGTTTTTCAAATGTAGGTCAAAGCTCACTATGACTTTTTTTTCTCTTACAGATGATATGTCGCAGTAATAGTTTTGTGTTGATAACAACGGAGTTATCGTCATTTATACGAAAACAAAACATCATTTGGAAGCCGCCATCTTGAATTCATTAATTTTAACGAAAAAATCATGATCTCCGACCTCAAAAACCTCCACTTACCAATTTTGAATGGAATCGGACCAAATCTTCTCCGCCATCTTGGAGCAGCCATTTTTTTTAATTTCAACAAAAATTCCATAATGTATTGTCACCGAAATTATAAACACTTGCCAAATTTCAAGTTAATCGGAGTTATGGAATTTTTGTTGAAATAAAAAAAATGGCTGCTCCAAGATGGGGGACAAGATTTGGTCCGATTCCATTCAAAATTGGTAAGTGAGGGTTTTCGAGGTCGGAGATCATGATTCTTTCGTTAAAATTCATGAATTCAAGATGGCGGCTTCCGAATGATTTTTTGTTTTTGTATAAATGACGATAACTCCGTTGTTATCAACACAAAACTATTAGTGCGACATATCATCTGTAAGAGAAAAAAAAGTTATTTATAACTAAGTCATAGTGAGCTACGACCTACATATGAAAAACTAAAGTTGGTGCTGATATGTGAAATTCTAGAAGAGTTGGTATAAATTTCATATTTTTTTCGAAATCACTTTGAAAAACTGCCATGAGAATGTGAAATTCCTATTTGAATATTTTCATAAATAAAGAAGTTACGGAGGAGACATGAAAATGATCAAAATCTGTTTTTTGCGTATGAAACAAAAACGAATAGATTTCATCAAAATATTTTTTCACATTATAGTTGGCATTGACAAACTCCACATTTGGTGTCATTTAACCGACCTCGTATCTCTCACCGTTAAAAAGATACCCATGGTGAGCATGGTAAGTGGGACACACTGTATTACTAAACAACCACTAAATTCGCAATTCTTTGTAATCAAATCACAGAATTAGACTGACAGAAGTGACATCAGATATTTGATTACTTCAAAAGAATAATAAAGATGCCTACAACGCAGGTGTCCCTACTGTTAAAAACTTAAAATTTCACGTCGATAATTTTCAGATTTCAAAATAATGTAATATCTTCTCAATATTGATTCGTCCTTTCTTCTGTCACAGAAAAAAATAGTGTATATATTATACACGGGAAAAATATTAGATTTTAGCTCACGGTTTTTTGTCTCCCTCAACACAACAACAACACAACCTGGAGCTAAAATCTACTACTTTTTTTTTCTTGTATAATAAATAACTATCTAGTTTATCGAACGGCACCTGTGTCAATCACTATCCTGAACAAAATGAAATACGGAAATTTGCACTCGATTTCGCGATTTAATATCAAATGATGATCAAATGGTGTTTTCTATGGCGGAATTGATCTATCTCTGTTATTTTTAATCCTATCCCTCTATTTCCAGATAGTGATGCTCATCTTCCATGCTACTTATGCCGATGAAGTGTATCAAAACTCGTCCCATATTTGCGAAAAATGCAGATGCACGGACGAAGACATTTTCACGATAGATTGTTCTAATCAGAAATTTCAGCATGTACTAGCCAACTGGCCTCCTCACAACAAGTCTCTAGTAGGTATGTTGAGGACCATGTGACCAATCGGTCCATACAGCCAATCAAAATACCATCTAAAAATCGTCCAATCAACCACTTTCTTTTTCTGGTAATTTTGCACTTATGCGATGGGATTTTTTCGAAAAATTTGTTTGTTACTTAGGTATTTTTATCTGAAAAACACGAATTCGATAATGAAAATGTGAACAAACCACAACTTATCGAGATATTTCAAGAACAACTTCGACATTTCGCCTTTTTTTTCCATGTCATACTTGCTCTTCTTGATAAGGCAAGACTTTAAATGAAAAACCATTGCAATCTATTCGGATAGCCAGGCGGCAATCAAAGCAGTTAACTTAAAGCTAGTATGGGACTGATCAGAAACCATAAATGAACTGGACAGTCAGAACAGACTGACTCTAGCATGGGTACCAGCACATACAGGGTACGAGGGCAATGAAGAGGCAGACTCACTTGCCCGAGCAGGAGCAAACAATGCTCTGAATGGCCCAGAACCCTTCTATGCCAGCGTCATCAGGTCTATGATAGCATATGGGTCAGTAGTGTGGTGACCAAAGACACAACAGGCTGGAGTGATTCGGAGGCTCAGTGCTAATCAAAGGCAAGCTTGCCTGAGTGCCACTGGTGCAATGAAAACCACTCCAACAGCCGCTTGAACCAGCCACCACTACAAATACATATTCAAGGCGAAGCCAGAGCAGTCGTGAGTAGATTGTCGAGGGGTCGAATACCCATAAGCAACGCGCACGGTAAAGAATATAGAAAGCTATATGAAGAGTTGGAAAGCGACCCCATCTTGGGAATGCCAACGGATGGCATAATTCCAAAATATAGCTTTGAAAACACTTTCAAAATAACTATAACGGACAGAGAGGCATGGAAGGAAGGACCTCCTATTAATGCAGACATCGCTGTCTATACGGACGGATCCAAAACTGAGGAAGGATCAAGAGCTGGTATTTATGGGGTCAAGCCAAAGACAAGAATCTCACTGAGCTTAGGTAAATACGCGACGGTGTTTTAGGCAGAAGTTATTGCAATACATGATTGCGTGAAGGAATTGATAAGGCAAGACTTTAAAGGCATCAAAGCAGTCAACTCTATGCAAATTAACTCAAAGCTAGTATGGGACTGCTCAGAAACCATAAATGAGCTAGGCAGTCAGAACAGACTGACTCTAGCATGGGTACCAGCACATACAGGGTATACGAGGGCAATGAAGAGGCAGACTCACTTGCCCGAACTGGAGCAAACAAAGCTCTGAATGGCCCAGAACCCTTTTGTGGTATTGCGAAAGCTATACAAAAGACATGGATGCAAACCAAATCTCAAGAATGGTGGAACAACTCGCCAGGAACGAGACAGGCAAAAGAGTTTATTGAAAAACAATCGCCAACATTCACAGAATATCTCCTGAGCCAGAAACGAAGTATACAATTAGAATACTAATGGGTAGTCTCACAGGACATTGTAGGCTCAACAAACACATGAGTACGATGGGTCTGACTGAAGCACTGTTGTTCAGGTTCTGTTAGGAAGAGGAGTAAACAGCAGTATCTACTGTGAGGGCTTGTCAAGACTAAGGTTCCTTACGCTGGGTGAGGAAAAACCAAGAGCTCAAAGTTACACAGGGGATCTGAAAGCTAGCTTATGGAGTCTCATAGAGGCTAGCCAAAGAACTGTAAACGATTTTCAGGGCAGACACAATAGATCTGAATAGGTCCCGGTGTGGAGGCAGATAGCCCGAAGGCCCCACTCTGAATCTAATCTAATCTACTTGCTCTTCTTATTTTCGTTGGACACTTCATATACTTATAATGTACTTCAATGACACTTTTTGAAATAGAAAATTCAACACGAAATGTGGTTTTCATGGCGAGTTTTTCATATTCAGTGAACAAGCATACCAGATGACAGCCATTTAATCAATACTCAATCCAAATACGAGATATCAAATGTCAACAGATTGCTTTTGAATGAGGTTACACACGCCTGCTTTTCTCGAAATATCAATAAATCACAAGAGAATCATATCTCTAGTTGACTTTCACTTATAAAAAAAATTGCCATTGAAGTACATTGTGATATACCGGGTGTCCCATTTTAATCTTTATTTGGAAATTTCTCGAAATGTATGCATCTGACAAAAAAAATTGACAAATAAAAGTTGTATGGTTTGGAGGGGGACGTCTGGTCATAAAACAAGTTTCACCCCCTGACCCCCAGGGGAGTAAGGAATGGAGGTAACATTGAAATCTTCAATGGAAACCCCTATTTTTTATTGCAGATTCTGGAAGAGCATTAAAAACTATGAAGCTTTTATTCGGGAACTTCTTTTTTATTTTCACAAGATGGTGCTGCGATCGTAAAAAACAATATTTCACTATTTACACATTTCAACCCCCTGAAGACGAGGAAGAGTGTAGGGTGTGATATTTTCCCAGACAAACGCCATTGGGGTGATATTCACACGACAAATTAACGCTGAACGAACTTACTTACCTTGACACCTCTACATAGAAAAGAGAAAAATAAGCATGTTTCAGCAATTAAGGTATCATTTAGGTCAGGCTAAAGCTGGTTCCTAGTGAGATTGACTACTTTATCAAGTGTTCGAAACGGCCTCCATTTTCTTGAAAACACAAGTTCACTCGTTTTTCAAAATTCCGCACTTTTCGCTTCCAACATAGCAGGCGTTATCTTTCATATTCTCGCGTGTGGTTGGGGGGTTGGGGGTTCGCGAAACACAATGTTTTTGATGTAACCCCACAGAAAGAACTCTGGGGAAGCCATGTCGGGTGACCTGGGTGGCCAACTACAAACTAAATAGTAAAATATTGTTTTTCAAGATCGCAGCGCCATCTTGTGAAAAAAAAATGCTTGACTAAAAGCTTCATAGTTTTTAATGCTCTTCCAGAATCAGCAATAAAAAATAGAGCTTTCCATCAAAGATTTCAATGTTACCTCCATTTCCCACTCCCCTGGGGGTCAGGGGGTGAAACTTGTTTTATAACCAGACGTCCCTCTCCAAACCATACAACATTTATTCGGCAATTTTTTTTTGTCAGATGCATACATTTCGAGAAATTTCCAAATAAAGATTAAAATGGGACACCCGGTATAAGTTGTCTAATGATGAAGAGAGAAGGGCAAATTGTTCTAATTGATGCAATCCAAAAGACAGGTGGAAAAGAAGGTGAAATTTGTAATTGTATAGTGAAATATCTTAATAAATAATGGTTTGTTCACATTTTCATTATCAAATTCTAGTTTTTAGACGAAAATACGTAAGTCATAAAAACATTTTCGATAAGTGCAAAGTTACCCTTTCTTATTTCGTTTGTTATATGTATATGTATCTGAATAACACCGAAAAAATTCAAGGGTCGATTCCTTGTGATATTTTAGGAAATAAAGTTCATATAAACATGTGTCCTAACTTGCTTCGTTTTCGAGATACAAGGTATCAATATTTCCATGAAAAATATTTTTTCTATTCATTCCTCAATTGTCTTTCCTACAATTTCAATAAAACGTTGTGGTTTTGTTAATAGTAATATGGAGCTTCTTTTAGTGCAATTAGATTCGAAATAATATTTCCAGTGGTGTCACAGTGGGTGAATTTATCGACATTCCTGGTGAATGTCATTGCACATCACCGGTTTTTCTGAGTTTCATATTTTTATCAGATTGAACTATTGAAATAACAACTTTTTTATTCTCTGTGAGATTTTTGTATTTAGCTTAGTTTTTGGGGAAAGGAAGCACCCCTTGAATTTTCTTGGTGTTATTTAGATACACCTTGTATAATATACAGTGATTGGTTCACCAACTCATATCTGAAAGGAGGGGGCAGGTAATGGATATTTTGAACATATTTGACAGGGTACAATTTTGAAAACTTCCCACTCTCAATCAATATCTTCCTTCCCACTAAATGATATAAAAAATCGAGAAGACAAGTCAATTTTATTTTCAAGTTTGACACCTAAAATTGATATTTCTAGCCCTTTTGATTCAACCCTCTAGGAGGGGGTAGATGTAACCCTTAGAATCTTAAATGGGAAGGGGGGTCAAATGTAAAATTATTTTTTTTCACTCAAAATTGGTAGCTTGTAATATGACTAGCAAATAACATTAGATAAAATTACTTAACCTTTGGTGTTGTGATTTCATCATGTTATTTGCTCTCGTTATTACCAAAGCAACCAAGTTGTCGTGAAAAATGAAAGTTTATCCGATAGAATAAAAACCTCTTGTGGTATAACCCTCGTTAACACAATGACTTTATTGTGTTATTATTTCACATTAAATGTCATCCCCCATGAAATGTCAAAGTTCAAGCAATGACAGCTCTGTCTGATAGAGCAAAAAAATCCTTATTATCTGTTCTAGAGTCGTAGAAAAAGTATAGTGTAAAACTCGCGCAGAATACTAATTTCTCATTCTGACTATCATTCCGTGCTCGTTTTAATAGACCTTCTCTTGACCATAAGATTTTACGTTTCCCAGTGTTGAGCAGTTTAGTTAATCACGTGGTTTATAAAAACAGGTACGTTCAGTTACAACAACATGACAACCTTGGAAAAAATCCCGATAACCGATCAGAAGGCCAAGTTGGTGTTCGACCATTGCAACATACAGTATTTGGATAGAAGTGTCTTCTCAAACATCAAAAATGTGGAATACATCGACCTCAGTTACAATTTATTAAAAAGTAAGTATAAATTCGAAAAGAAAAAAACAGGTGAATTATATTGGTCAGACAGGTAGAACATTCAACAACCGCATTCACGAACATCAAATACGTTTACATTCAAGATACACACAAGTTGAAATTCCGAACAAGAAAAGAAGAAGAATTACAAACTACATTGTCAACCTAACTTTCTGACGTTAATATCGGCTGTCACCTTCATCGCCAAATCCTTGTTTCATCTATTCAAGATGCGAATAGTCAAAGATAATCTTCATATTATCTGATTCTTTGGTTGTGTGTTGTGTTCTCTGTTATCTGCAATAGGTATTCAATCCAGAAATTTCATTCTATGTTCTGATGAAATGAAAATCAGAAATTACATCACGCGTTTTTCATACTATGAAATATTGTGAATAGTAGGCGAGTGAACAATTTTTTCTTATTTCTTTAATAGAATCATCACGCAAATACCTTTCAATTTCATATTTTCATAGAATTTTTCGTTTTATTTCAAGGTGTCAAAATCAACCGAGTTCTCAGAACTCGATATCATGGATCAGAACACGAAATTCAGAAATGCAAACATGAATTCCGAGTTACAACTCGTGAATCGGAAAAAATGCAACAAATCCTCAGTATTTTTCAAGTTTCATGTCGGGATCAAAAATTCAAAAACATTAGAGCTCTAAATTCAGCGATGCAAATATGAATCAGAATTACAACTTCTCAAAACTAAGAATAGATATGAAATTTTATACTGATACAATGAAATCAACTAACCTTGGCTTGCCTAACTTTTATATATCCTGCTTTCCCAATTTCGAGTTGTGAGTTTGAATTGAAAGAAAACAACATTAAAATGTCGAGTTCCAATCAGGATCAGAGTTTCCAAAACTCAGACTCCTTAGTTTGAGCTCGGAATTTGGATATGCAAACATGAATTTTCAGTTGTAAGTTGTAAAATGGAATCTGCAAATAGGATTTTGTGTTTTCAGCCAGGACTTTGTCTTTTCAGGTTCTAAAAACTAAGAGAATGGAATTGCAATTGAATTCTGAGATTCAAGGAAGGCTTTCAATTACTCAGAATTCGGAGTTACAAAGAGAAATTTCAAGTTTCAAATTGAAATTAGGAACGAATTACAAGATATAGAGTGGAACAACTAAACTTTTTTGGAATATTCAAAACATGATACTATTATTGTACAGTGCGTCCATAAAGTAACGCATGAATTCATTATTGGCTAAATGAACAATAAAATTAGAAATTCCCAAAACAGGTCGATTTTTGATTTCAATTCACAATTGTTTCAAATCATAATCTAATATACAGGGTGAACCACTTTCGTGTAATGACGTCATCACCATTTTTTTCTAATGGAACCCCCCTTTTTTTTTCAATTTCAGAATTGCCCTTGCTGAGCTGATTCCAAAAATGTATAATATGTTGCTTCAAATTGGTACAGGGTGGGCAAAAATGCAAAAAAAAATATGAAAATTGTCCTAATTCTCTGTATTTTCGCTCTATTCTACTTACCGTAGATTGTGAAATAGGTTCACGATCTGGGTGCATTTCATGGAATAATCGGCATACCTCTTGTTGAGTCCGCATCTTATCGCCAATACCAATCATCATTAATATTTCAATCCTGTCACTTTCGGTTAAAGGCATTTTGTAAAAAAAGTTCACGAACGTACCTTCTCTAAAGCGTTAACAATACGAAAAAAGTTTTTGACAGTTTTGGTAAAAGATAATGCCAAACAAAAAGATTTTTATAGTCCACGGGCTTGGATCACTAATAAAAGCTGTAAGATACAATTATTAAGAATAATGCTGGATGTTCTTGATAGTTTATCAAAGTAGTTGTATAACAATACGTAATTTCATTTAATGTGTTTATTACGTTTATTCATTATTTTTATTACTTTGTGAGTAAATTTTTGCATTTTTGCCCACCCTGTACCAATTTGAAGCAACATATTATACATTTTTGGAATCAGCTCAGCAAGGGCAATTCTGAAATTGAAAAAAAAAGGGGGGTTCCATTTGAAAAAAATGGTGATGACGTCATTACACGAAAGTGGTTCACCCTGTATATTAGATTATGATTTGAAACAATAGTAAATTGAAATCAAAAATCGACCTGTTCATTTAGCCAATAATGAATTTATGCGTTACTTTATGGACGCACTGTATAATTGAGTGTGTATGTAACATAAGTTGTAGAAATAGACACAGCTTTAGCTGTGTATTGTCCTTAATGTTTGTTAGTGTGTTTTGACTCTTTTCATTCAAGTATTTCAACTAGAGGAATGGGGAAGTTTCCTTCAGATGAATTTTCATAAAATAAGTTCGGAACTCTCCAGTTTTATGTCCACGCTGTACAGAATGACGACCGATAAAGTCCAAGTCGTTTTCATTTTCAAATTGAAGCAATTTCTAATTTTCGGGGCGGCAAACTGTGATGTGCATTCTGATTCTAGTCTGAAAATAGCTGATGGTGAAGAATACAGCTAGCGAATAGCTAGCGAATAGCTAACGAATACCTAACGAATGAAGAACGAATGAAAAAAAATTAAGTAGTAAAACTTGTATACAAAAACAAACATAATCACGAATGCACTCGGAGCAGGAATGCAGAGGGTAGTTGGCTCCATTCTGACAGGTTATGGTTTTGTTAATTGTGCATTGAAATATCTCGAATAGAGCTCGATCCTAAACGAAACTATCATTGAATCAATGAATCACTATCGTCTACATTCAATGATACTATCCTTCCTAATTTACTGTCATCGGTCAGAACAGAATGAAGCCGACGCCCATGCCTCATGCCTCCTGCCTCGAAGTATTAGGCGCTGTTGCAAGATATAATCTGCAACGTTCCTAGAAGATAGATCCGTTTCATTAAGGAACGAAGTTATCAGCAAAAAAATGACTGACAAGTTATAAATAACATATAGTAATATAACGATAGTGATAAATTATAGATACTATCGCAAAATATCATAATTTCTCTTTATTAGTAATCAACTTCATTCAGCCAATGATGAGAGATTTATGGGAATTATTCATAATACTTGACAAAGTAGGGTTGAAGAACCTTTGCTGTTATGATATAGTTATTATGCATTCAAAGAACAATTTCCGGAAATCTAGACATATTAATGATGTCGGCAACGTCGTTCTGACACAGGGAATCGTATTTTAACTCTGTGTGAATGTGGATTTCAGAAATTACGCCATAGAAATGGTGAAGGAGCCAAGTTCCTCTTTTATTTATTTTTTTCTGAAGTGAAATTTGATCTCTGAAAAAAAGGGAAAATACGTATACACTGTGTCCAAGATAAGAATGAACAGCATGGGGATCTCCGAAACGGTAGGAGATACGAAGTCGTTTAAATGGGGAAAAAGTTGCGCATTTGGAGGCTCATATCAAGAGCCTTCGAAAATTTTGAAAATTATTTTTAGTTTTTGAGTTATATCGAAAAAAGTGAATTTTTGGAGTATTTATTTTATTTTTGTTCTCCGATTTTTTTATGCGACGTTTCGTATTCGTGGAACCATCATCAACTTTTGTTTTTTAAATACGGTCCTGATAATTTTTTCACAGATTCTGAAAGGTTTTTTCATTCTGAATTCAACCATGTATTATACAAGGTGTTTTATGTGTGTTTCGACCTACTTTTAGCCATCATCAATGTTTTTTCGAAATTCCAAAGGAAAAACGCCATCAGTTCCACTTATTTTCAAGGAAAATTAGTCAACACACTGATACCTCATCAACTGGTTTCAATCAACAACCCATTTCATTTTGCGGAAACAAAAATTCCATCCCTACAAATTCAGATGTCAAGCGCTAAAACCAGGCGATGACGAAAGGCGCAGGATATTTTGTGAGTGGTATACCAGGAAATGTCAAAATTTTGCAGATTTCCCTCTAACAATCATCTGGACTGATGAAAGCATGGTCACTAATCATGGTAGCTTCGATAGAAAAAATACACATTATTGTTCACGAGAAAATGAACATTTATACATTACAGCGAGACACCAACACCGTTTCGGCTTTAATATGTGGGTTGCAATATTTGGTACACGAATTATTGTTCCTTCTATTTACCATGAAACACAGACTTCCGAACGTTATAGAAATTCGCTTGAGAATCATCTTGAGGAAGCTCTGGATGATTTACCGATTGCGGAAGTTCAGAACTCTGTTGGTTTCAACAAGATGGCGCTCCGGTACATAATTCCAGAGAAGTCCGTGCGTTTATATCCAGAAAAATGGATTGGTACTCATTCTACAGTCCCTTGGCCGGCGCGGTCGCCTGTTTTGACACAGCTGTATTTTTTCTTTGGGGATTTAACAAACTTTGTATACGCAAACAACTTTGATGATGAAGAAGAACTAAGGGACAGTGTATTCGAAGCATTCAATAGAATAACCCCAGAAATGCTGAGCAATGTCTTAGAAGCAACTGTGAGAAGAGGATATCTTTGTTCAGAAAATGATGGTTATCATTTTGAACATTTGTTATGAATGTCTCTGTAGGTATTGTCAAAGTTAAGTTGTTAAAGTAATTCGTGTAAGAATTCATCAACAATTTTAAGCGCTTCATTGATCGAATGATGTAGTGAAATATTTTTTATTCACTTTTCAGTATTGAATAACTAATCCATCAAGTTTGACACTAAATGATAAGAAATAAGTGGAACTGATGGCTTTTTTTCTTTTGGAAGTTCGAAAAAACATTGATGATGGATAGAAATAGGTCGAAACACATTCGAATCACCTTGTATAATACATGGTTGAATTCAGAATGAACAAAGCTTTCAGAATCTGTGAAAAAATTATCAGGACCGTATTTAAAAAAACAAAAGATGATGATGGTTCTACGGATACGAAACGTCGCATAAAAAAATCGGTATCACCAAGTTAAACGTCATCAAAACTTGCTATGAAAAAGTATTTACAGTTTTTCTGTATCTCTAATAATAACGGAGAAAAAAAATAAAATAGATATTCCAAAAATTCACTTTTTTCGATATAACTCAAAAGCTATTAGCCCAATCACCTTAGTATCAAATTTGACGAATAGCGGGAATCGAACCCAAAGTTTTGAAAATTGGTGTACATGTTCCCTTTGGCATGACTTTCAACCAAAAAAAAGTCACCACCTGTACCTGTAGAGCTAACTCCGCCATCTTGAAAAATGTGTGCACTTTTTCAGTTATTCGGTTATATCTCAGTATCTGTTAACTTTATCGATATCAATTTGCTGAAGTGAAATGAAGGAAATTGAATTTAGAAAAAAAAAGTTTTTCACATAAATACTCGTTTAGTGCATGGTTTATCAGTAAATCGTAAAACAATATGCGATATTTGAGAAACTGACTCATAATTATTCTGTTATACATATATTCCAACTACAAGTAACTGTCAGAGAGTCGGCGCCATATTCAAGGATCCTCGCAACACAAAACAGCGATCGGCCATTACAGAATACCAGTGTTTTTTTTATTGCTTGGAGCGCACGAAAGGGTATCCCTATAATGTTCAAAGAACATCGCGCGTTCCTAGGGAGGATAGGGACAGGAGGTAGGTATTGGAATTTTTTTGAACTTTTGGAGATTATATGTTGTTGGCAATACTTCCACAGGCAATGAATTCCAGAGCCTAGCCGTTCTATGGATGGAGGAGTCTTGATAAAGTGCCACATATTAATGGTTTTTTTCTTTTACATCGTATGATTTGGCAGTAAAATCAAACGTTCCTGTCAATCTGCTCCAGTTACATTGCCTACGTCAGGAAACACTACGGCTCTAATTCGGTGATTGTTTTCGACGGGTACTCTGATGATGCTGATGGAACTAAAAAGGCTGAACAGCATAGACGTGCTCTTAAAAATACATGTGCAGACATATTATGTTTTGTTTGATGAAAACATGCCGGTCACTGTCGCACAAGAAAAATTACTAGCTAACCCAAAGAACAAGAAGCGATTGACTGCTATATTATCAGAAAAAATGAAGGGTTCATCACAAAGCAAGCAGTGGACGATGCGTATTCGCTAACAATACAGACAGCTATTGAAATGTCTTCCTCTACCCAAGTCACCGTTCTTGGATAAAATGTAGAACTACTTATTCTACTCATAGCTTTGGCTCCAGCAGAACGCAACATTTATTTTGGGAAACCAAAAAAAGGCAATGTATAAAGGCAAAAAGGTATACTGTTCCCGCGAACTACGAACCAATATTAAATAACAGAGAACTACCCTTCTCTTACATACCTTTGGGGGTTGTGACTTTTAAAAGTTGTGGAGATGACTTTGGGTTTTCATCTATGAACTACACCACTCCACTTTGAGTTACCATGGACTTCTTCCAAAAATTGAAAAAGGAAAGTTGAAATGCTTCAAACTCATGAAGGACCGGCCATCATTACGAGAAGTTGCGGAGGCTTTCAACAACCCGGAAGCTATATAAGAGTGAAGAAGTATCTACTACATGTGAAAGATTCTTTCTAGCTCTGTATGATGCCCATAAAACGAAAACATCATTGAAGAAGCTACGGTACAATCTGTTAGCCAAATCTGCTAAAAAAAAAAGTAGATCTGGCTTCTCTGCCACCGACGGAAGCAGCTTTGAGGCAGCACTCCTTCAGAGTCAATCATCAGGTACAAGAGTCGTTGGGTAATCAAAAATGTCCTGAGCTTTGGGGGTGGAAGAGGATTGCTGTTGGTCTGGTTCCTGTGCCAACTACCCTACCTGCTGCTCCAGATTCTTTGCTCCAGATGATTTCTAGCGATTGCAAGAAAAGATGCACGGCAGCCTGCGAATGCCGAAAAGCGGGTCTTAAATTCTCGATTAGTTGCGAATATTGCCTTGGAGCATCGTGCCACAACGCACAATACTGTCAGGACAACGCCGAAACGCTGGAATCCGAGGTGAAGTTCGATTTTTCCGTTTCATCTCTTCTAAGTAATGAATACGATGCTCCGGACGAACCCGACCCGATGGTTGTATTTTCAAATAACGAAGAATACATGCCTTATTCTCTATGTTATACCCTGCGTCTTCGAAATGGGTGATATACCCGAAGCGTAGAGTTGTCCCGGTTGTCAGCAGAACGAGAGCGGCTGATGAGACCTGGTGGGTCGAAACAGTACTGTCTTGCTCCTGCTGACAATTGGGGCAACTCTGTCCATCCTGAAACTCTTGATTATGAGTTCTAGCAGCTTTTCTACTGGTCACCATGAGCGTATACAACTAAATTATAGTTTGTCCAGTCGGTTTGCAGTAGAATTTTATATTTTGCCAAATCGTTGTGGCGACATAAGTCCAAAACCGTGCATATTTCGGAAATAATCAATGAATACTTTTTTACGATAAATTTTGTTAGCTTCCATTTACCTCTTCACCTTTATCGTATGAGTTGTGACTTTTTTTTGGTAAGATGTAATGCTAAAAGGAACACGTACACCAATTTTCAAAACTTTGGCTCCGATTCCCGCTATTTTTTCTAAGGTGACTGGGCTATATAGACTGTAGTGTTTAGTGTTCGTTGCATCAATAAAATCACTATTATTGTTTTTATTTATTGTTTAGCGGAAGAGATTGATGGAGACGACTTCAAGGGTCCCTACAACAACAAAAAGTTCCATCCGATAGCTGTGAAGTATTTGAGTTTGGCCTACAACCAGATACACAGCTTGCCACAGAAATTTTTCGAAAATATGCCCGACCTGGAAGAAGTTCATCTCGAAGGAAACGATTTTTCCGTGCTGGATCCTCACACGCAAGTGGCAATTTCCACACTTTCCAAGTTGAAAGTAAGCTCAAGTTGCATAAATACTACAGAAATGATTCAAAAATGTTTCTAAAATCTCTGAATTGAAATATTCAAATTATTGGTTCTTTCGGGAAAAATCTGTCAAATCGAAAATGATTTTGAAACGTATTTTGACAATTTCATGAGACCATATGAACATTAATAATCTGTATTTCCAGATTTTTTAGGGATTTTCTCTCCTCGTCTCTATAAAATAAAAATATGAATACTATTTCAATATACGTGTAGTAAGGACAAATCAGATGATTTGCCCCAAAATGTCACTGCGTTCAAAGAATTTTCCTATCAGAGAGCCTTACAAAAATTCACTAGCTTGTCAGTGACAATTTGCATTGAAAAAGGTTTGGAGAAGAGAAATAAAAGTATATAGAAAAAAATTCAAATTTTTACTTATCTTTGGACGTTTCGGGAACAAATCTGCTCTCGTTTTCAACATTAAAAATGAAAAGGAACATTCTCAGATATATTTATGAACACAAAAACATGGAGATATAGGTATATGAAGAAATACATTGAGAATTCGCATTCTCCATGTGATGAAAATATCAATTCTTTCACGGCTTATTCAACAAAACAACTACTTTCCTGGCTATATGCCACGGCGAACATTGAATTACATCTATTTGAACACACACGATGAGAATTTGAAAACAAAATCTTCTGAAGTAGAGAATTTGCATTCTCCTTCATATAAATATATGCATATAATATAATTCTGAATATTCAACAGAAAACAACTACTTTCCTGCCTATTTGCCACGTCGAACATTGAATTATATCTGTTGAATATCCAAAAAGAGAACATGAAAGATCAAAATCCTCTGAAATTGAGAATCAACATCATCCCTCAAATCGAATAGAATAATATGATGTAAACTACTTACCAGATGAAGTGGGAAAGCCAAAAAGATGACTAATTTTGAAAAGCGATAACTCGAATATTTCTTGTCCGATGTTGGATTTTCAACTGAAGGTAGAAAGCGTCATCCTTGGGCTATGCGTCATTGGCGTCGGGTTTTTATTTTTGCGATTCCTTCTCTTTGTACAGAGTGTGAATTAAGAGCCGAAAAAATTTCAAATTTTTGACCAATAATTTGGGAAATGTGAGGAACCCTAGAATTTTTTTTTAGATGTTGGGTGAATGATTGGTTCAATACCTCGAGAAATCTATGAATTTTTTTCGATAAATTGCGTTGCTATGGAAAAATCGCCATATTATGGAATTCCGTTTTAATTTTAAAATGAGCTCCTTTTAGTTGAACAATAACAGCCAACATCTAAACTGCAACGAGAGATATTTCTATTGAAGATAATGAACACCAGTGGCGCGCAAAAAAGGGGTATATTATATTTACAAACAAAAATTCGTTTTTATTGAGAAAATTTAACAATTTTATTGATCGAAAAATGTCATACCTTAATTAGCATGATTTTGACAAATTCAGAGGCGCGCAAAACAGGGGGTTATGATGTTTAGAAACGAAAAAGCCGTTTTTATTGAACAGTTTTATTGATCGTTACAGGTAAAAAGTTGCCATACATTTAATTAGCATGATGTTGACAAATTCAGAGGCGTACAAAAAACCGTGAGCTGAAATCTAATATTTTTCCATTGTATAATACACTATTTTTTTCTGTGACAGAAGAAAGGACGAATCAATATTGAGAATCACATTATTTTGAAATCTGAAAATTATCGACGGGAAATTTCAAGTTTTTAACACTAGCGACACCTGCGTTGTAGGCATCTTTATCATTCTTTTGAAGTAATCAAATATCTGATGTCACTTCTGTCAGTCTAATTATGTGATTTGATTTCAAAAAATTGCGAATTTAGTGGTTGTTTAGTAATATACTAACCGCGAAGTCGAATGGAAGATAAAAGGACTTGCAGTTCTTTCTCGGAGACGGTATTATTGACTCATTTTTCGGAACTATAGCACAACAAAAGCCATCAGCAGTGTATATATATATGTGATATATATGCGGAAAAAAGTATTCACTTTTTTCCCACGGGAAAAAAATATTTATGAAAAGTGAAATTTTATAACCTGCCAACAGAGATGAAATGCCAAACTTTTTTCCCGTCACAGAAAAAACATATAACTTACCGATATGTTCAGTATTGAAATGAAAATTGAAATGTATAGGAGAAGTATACTTGTATGAATTCTGATCTTGATGAGCTTGGAACTTCCAAAAAGGTTTTTCTCAATTCAGAATTTCTTTCCACGTCCTGTATGATGAATATCAATTCATCATACATTTATAAAAAATGAATTTTTTGTATTGCAAATTCGTATTTGTCCTGACACTTTTCAGTTCTCTGTGACAATTGGTGACGTTGGCAATCAAATGAGCTACAGGATGTTTTCATTAATTAATCTTGAATTTACCATTTTCATTTTCAGATTTCAGTAGTGAATACAATGTTCTATCTATATCAACTGAACAGGAAGCAATGCTATTGTCTCCGTTCAGAAGAATGCAAGCAGATTCCTTGATTTTTCTCTTCTGGTTGTTATCTTCTTTTCCAATGATTTTAATATGTTGAAAAATTGTCACTGACAAGCTAGTGAATTTTTCTGCTAGGCTCTCTGATAGGAAAATTGTTTAAACGCAGTGACATTTTGGGGCAAATCATCTGATTTGTCCTTACTACACGTATATTGAAGAAATAGTATTCATATTTTCACTTTATAGAGACGAGGAGAGAAAATCCCAAGAAATCTGGTATAATGAATGTACCACCTCCTCGATTAACCTACAGACAGTAATTAATAATCTGAATAACTCCCGAGAGCTTCATTAAATTGTCTCTAAATACAAAGTACTCGAGATGAATTGAAGAAAATAATATTCTCTATTTGTCATAGTCGAGTGATATTCAGGAAGATTATTTCATGAACAGTATAAAAATACAACTCATCCAAAGTTAGTACTTCTGAACTTTCCTCTCTTGTTTGAGGAAAATATTGCAGGTCATTATGCGCATCCCTGGCACCTTTGAATTCGATATCTTCAAATGGTTTTATCTAACGTTCATGTTCAGGGAAATACACTTCCTGTATAGTTTTCCATATCACTTTGACTGTGTACAGGGTGATTCACCATAAATGTCCCCCCCTCTAGCTCAGTTATTTTTGAACCGATTTCAAAATTTGAAATATCATCTTGAATGATTTTCGATAAAGTTTTTTTCCGCTAGATCAGAAAATACAGGGTGCTCGGAACAAACGATCTACAGGGTACTATTTGATTTTTTTAAATGAAACACCCTATTTTTCACTATATTTTTAGATTCTCCCTGAAGAGCTGATTTGATCAATGTATCACACTTGGGGTCTAGCGGGTCTGATTACAGAGATATTGGGTGTTCAAAATCGAGATTTTTGACTTTAGGATTTTTTTGTGACGAAACTATTCATTATCGGTCACGCGGTTTTCATGTCCGTATCTTAACTTTCGATTTACTATCTACTGACATTTACTAATTGAAACAGATACAGGGTGACCAGAATTCTGAATCTTGAACCACCCTGTAAATGTTCCAATTAAATTTCACTAGATAGTAAATCAAAAGTTGAGATGGGAACATAGAAGCCGTTTTGACCAATAATGAATAGTTTCGGCACAAAAAAATCCTAAAGTTAGAAAATCTCGATTTTAAACACCTTATATCTCTGTAATCATTCCCGCTAAACCCCAAGTGTGATGCATTGATAAGTTCAGCTCTTCAGGAAGAATCTAGAAATACAATAAAATACAGGGTGTTCCATTTGAAAAAATCAATTAGTACTCTGTAGATCGTTTGTTCCGAGCACCCTGTATTTTCTGATGCAACGGGAAAAAAATTTCTGAAAAATCATTTTAGATTATCCGAGAGATTATCTTTCAAATTTTCAAAACGGTTCAAAAATAAGTGAGCTAGAGGGGGGGGACATTTATGGTGAATCACCCTGTACTCTTCATATTCCTCACTAAACTCTTCACCCAATCTTTGAGGCTTTTGGCGATTTCTTTTATTAGCTATTTTCATTTGTTTCACCTCACACAATTTTCTGGCGGTCCAGAACAAACCCTACAACTTGACTTTGGTATCTTCAATGATTAACCCTGCAGAAGCTGTTTGAAAATACGGAATGACCCTGTATATCAATTCGAATCATTTCTTTTTCTTTTTCAGGTATTGAATTTGGCCAACAACGAACTTACTGAAATCGAACCGACGGCCTTGAAAAATTTGCAGCATTTAGAAGAGCTGGATTTGTCATACAACCATCTGGATTTTGTGCCTGACAACGTGAAATACCTCAGCAAAACTCTCAGGGTACTGAAACTCAGTCACAACTACATATTCGAATTGAACGATAAAAGTTTCATTGGTGAGTTCAGATATTCATATGGAAAAATATACAAAATCGAAGGATATATTTCTTGGGAAACACCTAAAACATCAGAATACAATGTATCAAAATATAATCGATAGGAATATATTTATTTTTGGATGTCTGACAAATGTGGAAGTTTCAAATATTGAGGTTCTAATCTCACTGTGAAGTTTGTGAAAAATTAATATATACATATTTTTCCTTTTTTTTTCGTAAGATCAAATTTCACTTCAGAAAAAAATAAATCAGAAAAAAATAAATAAAAGAGGAACTTGGCTCCTCCACCATTTCCATGACGTACTTTCTGAAAATCCGCATTCACACACAGTTAAAATACGATTCCCTGTGCCAGTACGACGTTGCCGACATCATCAATATGTCTAAATTTCCGGAAATTGTTCTTTGAATGCATAATAACTATATCATAACAGCAATGGGATATAATAGGTTCTTCAATCCTACTTTGTCAAGTATTATGAATAATTCCCATAAATCTCTCATTGGCTGAATGAAGTTGATTACTAATAAAGATAAATTATAATATTTTGCGATAGTATCTATAATTTTTCACTATCATTATATTACAATATTTTGTTCATAACTTGTCAGTCATTTTTTTGCTAATGCATTCGTTCCTTAATAAAACGGATCTATTTTCTGGGAGAGTTGCACATTATTTCTTGCAACAGCGCCTAATACTTCGAGTCCGTCCACACCACTCAAAATACTGACAGGCACAACAAGAGGAAGGATCCATGGGTGTCGGCTTCATTCTGTTCTGACCGATGACAGTGAATTAGGAAGGATAGTATCATTGAATGTAGCCGATAGTGATTCATTGATTCAGTTATATTTTGGTTTAGGATCGAGCTCTATTCGAGATATTTCAATGCACAAATAACAAAACCATAACCTGTCAGAATGGAGCCAACTACCCTCTGCATTCCTGCTCCGAGTGCATTCGTGATTATGTTTGTATTTTGTATACCAGTTTTACTCCTTGAATTTTGTTCATTCGTTTTTCATTCGTTAGGTATTCGTTAGCTATTCTCTAGCAATATTCTTCTTCTCCATCAGCTGTTTTTAGACTAGATTCAGAATATACGTCACAGTTTGCCGCCCCGAAAATTAAAAATTGCTTTAATTTGAAAATGAAATCGACTTGGCCTTTATCGGTCGCCATTCTGTACAGCGTGGACATAAAACTGGAGAGTTCCGAACTCATTTTATGAAAATTCATCAAAAGGAAACTTTCCATTTGATATACATCATACAGGACGTGGGAAGAATTCTGAATTGAGAAAAGCTAATCACGAATTGTTTGGATTAATATTCTCAGATAAATTATGAACATAAAAAAATGGATATACAGAGAAGTGCACAAAAAACGGCCAGGACTGTAACTCTCGAATTATTCGAGATAGGGTTTCGAAAATTGGTGGGCATCTAGTATACCAGATTGCTCATTAATTGACGAAACAATTTTTGTTCTATCACTTACGGTTTTACTGGAAACGACCTCAACTTTTGATTTTTAAATGGGACACCCTGTATTGTATTCCATAATCGGTTAGGGATTCTCATAACGAATTCATCGATACCGGGTTTGATAGGGTTATTTCAAACGATTACGCAGATATTCGCGTTCTGAGTTTTCATATGCTCAATGTGTGTGACAGAGAAAGAAGTTTTGATATTGCGAAGTCACACCAATTGAGCATATGGAAACTTCGAACGCAATAGGAAAAAAGTAGTAGATTTTTGCTCCAGGTTGTGTTGTGAGCTAAAATCTAATATTTTTCCCGTGTATAATACACTATTTTTTTCTGTGACAGAAGAAAGGACGAATCAATATTGAGAAGATATTACATTATTTTGAAATCTGAAAATTATCGACGTGAAAGTTTTTAACAGTAGGGACACCTGCGTTGTAGGCATCTTTATCATTCTTTTGAAGTATTCAAATATCTGATGTCACTTCTGTCAGTCTAATTCGGTGATTTGATTTCAAAAAATTGCGAATTTAGTGGTTGTTTAGTAATTATACGTAACCGCGAAGTCGAATGGAAGATAAAAGGACTTGCAATTCTTTCTCGGAGACGGTATTATTGACTCATTTTTCGGAACTATAGCACAACAAAAGCCATCAACAGTATATATATATATATTTATATATATTTGATATACAGACTGATTTTAAAATGAGTGCATATATTCAAGACATATATATGAGAGAGTCTAACAAAAATTACTAAAATATTTGATTTTTCCTAAGTCTTCACATTAACGAGAAATTTCATTTTGAAAATTGAACATAAAATGCTTCGAAATTCGAGTACGCCACTGGGAAGCAAGTGAAAACTGCGGAATCCCAGGGAATCTCCAATTCGTCATTCACTAAAGTCAAAACAAGACAGTGATGCCAGATTGTTTCAGAGACGAATATCCCGATAAAAATTTGTCACAGAATGAATATGAGTTGAAATAGGTTATGGAAACTAATAGAGGTGAATGTAATATGTACAGGAGCCTTATTTTTTAAAGTTCACTGAGAGAATTGTGGGGTGATTATCTCCATGGATCACGAGAGACGGAGAGAAACATGAGGGGAATGGTAGAATGTCCCCCTTCCTTCCACAAAGTTGAAAATCGACTCACCTAGTAGATTTTCTCATACCTGCTCGAACAGCAAAACTCCCGAGAGCAAACAAATACTAATATCGAGTCCATTTCAGACTAATATCGTCCTGTGTTCTTGTTGGTTCATATTCGCACTTAAACCATCGAAAACGACTCGACGACGACATATCCTTCCTGGCAATCTCACATTGAAAATCACGACCATATCACGATTATCACGACACAAGACACAACATCCAATTATTTTTTTTTTTTTATGTTTACAATTATTTTACAAACACACAAACAAAACTATCATCATCTGATCTGTCAACATCATTTCTCAGAACAGTAGTATCTGTGACCATAGATTTCCTCTTTGCTGTGACCTTTGACAGTTCTAACTAGGATTGTTCGCGTTCAGAAAATAAACAATCCAAAACCGTCAGAAGCATGCACAAGTCCACAGAACCCAAAAAAATCATACAGTTCTGTGAAACTGCGCATGCTTCTGACAGTTTCGGACGCAAGAATTCAGATGACCATGAATTACTAATAGGCGATTTCTACGGACCAATCAGAAACAGCAAAGTAGCGCCTGCGTGGTTGCAATTCATCCTGATTGGACACAGCTGATTGGATTTATGAGATTAGTGTATAGTGAGGAAGTATCATTTCATTGAATTAAACTAATAGATGTTTTTTCCAAATTAGTTTTTTATGAAAATGTTAGTTTCATTTAAAGATATGATCCTTCCTCACTAATACATTAATTTCAATCACCTGTGCCCAATCAGGATGAATCGCAACCACGCAGGCACTACTTTGCTGTTTCTGATTGGTCCGTAAAAGTCGCCTATTAGTAATTCATGGTCATCTGAATTCTTGCTGGTAGCACACCATAAGAACAATCAAAACAAAGATCCTTTCTTGACAGTTTGTTGTTCTGAGAATGTATGTTATTTGGGAAAACGTCAAAACGTGATACTAGTAAATGTAAACAGTGTGGTCCTTGTCATTACTTTTGTAATAGATCTATTAGTATTCCACGGAGATTGTTACAATATTACGATTTGTCATGAATCTATTACTATTGGGTGTTAGCACCAAAATATGATGTTTTGTTACTAAAAAATCTATTTCTGTGTTCAGCGGATAATATGTTCTGCTCTATGGGTCTATGTTCTATATTTATGTCATAAGTTCTGTGTGACCTGCCTCATTCCTGCCAAAACTGTCTAATTTGTGCGATATGGTTTTACAAGAATGACATTCAGAATGTCAAATGTCAGATTTTTAGGATCTATTACCTTTCGATACAAATCTGTTACCATTTTCCAAGAAAATCTATTACGAAAAAATCAGACCCAGGAACAACACTGAATGTAAAGTTTTGTTTCTGACAATTTGCTTGGAATGTGACGATGCATTTCTCAAACATTGAGCTGAATGATATGGTTCTCATGTCGGGTCGTTATTGTGCGGGGCCCATGAGACTCCACGAAATTGTAGCGATGCAAGGAGGTGGAAGGAAAGGTCTAAAGGATTTTTCAGTGAAATAACTTCCAACCGTGAGGTGTTAAGTTATACGCTATTCGAGCTTATGTGTAGAAATCTTGGGTGAGTCCATTTTGAAGTTTTTGTATTATCTTTCTGAAATTCAAGACCAGGGTTAACTTCTTCCCCATGTACATTTTCTCGATTATACATTTTATTTAATATCTCCTAATTTTCATGTAGAGTGGCAACGTCGCTTCGTTCATCACGGTCGACTGCGGATCGCAAACGATAGTTGTGACAGAAGTAGAAATCTGGGCGGAAAAAGGGTATTTTGCCCCAAATCTATTTTGATCCTAATAATATTTTTAATAGTGCTATTCGGTAGTATACCTCAAGCTTTCTTAGTGTTTAAAATATATGCACTTATTTCAAAATCAGCCTGTATATCCGGAAAGAAGTACTCACTTTTTTCCTACGGGAAAAAAGTAATTCATGAAAAGTGACATTTCATAACCTGCCAACAGAGATGAAATGCCAAACTTTTTTCCCGTCACAGAAAAAAAAATCTTTGTAATCGTTTGAAATAACCCTATCAAACCCTAACCGAATATGGAATACAATACAGGGTGTCCCTTTTGAAAATCAAAAGTTAGGGTCTTTTCCGCTGATACTGGAAGTGAAAGAAGAAATTTGGTATACTTGCTACCCACCAATTTTCAAAACCCTATCTAGAATAATTCAAAAGTTACAATCCATGCCGTTTTTTGTGCTCTTCTATGTGTATATAAAGAAATACATTGAAAATTTGCATTCTCTATTTGATGAAAATATAAATTCTTCTCGGTTTATTCAACAGAAAACAACTACTTTCCTGGCTATAGTATTTGAGCCTTCCAATTTTCGTTGCGATATACCCACGTGGTTCAAAAATTAGTGTGTTGGGAACGGATTTTGGGCACTCTACCAGGTGATTCAATAACGGTGACGAGGTACAGTATCTCAGGAACTAATAGTTTATTTAAAAACCAGAATGGTATGTATGGATCTTTATTTTATTCACCAAAGCTTCCTTCCTCGAACCATACCTTTTGTTAGCAATTTATTAGTTCCTGAGATACAGCCTCTCGGTTACCCTTATTGAATCACCTGGTACAATACAACGCCATGTTCGACAAGATTTTTCTTTTCAGGTCTGAATCTTATCGAACTACATCTGGATAATTTACCGCGCCTGGAATATGTAGGCCCCAATACGTTTGCGACATTGCCAAACTTGAAAAATCTGCGGCTCAGCAATAACTCGAATCTGAGAGCGATCGACAGAGAGGCTTTCAGAGAAAATCAATCACTAGACGAGGTAAATAGCGAGTAGATAGCAGTTATTTTTTCGAAAGCAGTATGTTGAAGTCAATAATATTTGTAGCTCCATGAGGGAGATCGAATGTGGTGTACCACAAGGTTCCGTTTTAGGTCCACTTTTATTTTCAATTTACATCAATTCAATATCATCTTTGAAACTGAAAGGAGATCTAAAGTTATTTGCAGATGATACTACAATAATCTATTCCACTAAAGAATTCAATGATATAGTTGATGATATAAAAATTGACTTGAAAATGAATCATCTTGGCTACAAATTCATGAGCTGACTCTCAACTATGACAAATCTACGTATATGTATATTTCAAAAAGAAAACCTGATGTATTGAAAACAACAATATTTTTTGACCAGGGAGCTATAAAATATTTATAAATTACAAAATTCTTAGTTGATGAACAATTATCGTGGACTAAACATATAGATCACCTGAGAAAAAAGCGAAATACAATTACTGGCATTGTATACAAAATTTGAAATTCCATTCCGCGTAGATATTAGAAGAATATATTATTATATTTCTGTCTGGTTTACTCAAAATTACAATACTTAATATCATTTTGGGGAAAATTTTAGAGATAAATCAATGAATAAAAAAACAAAATGCTCGCAAAAGAAGCCTCTTTCGTATAGGGTGTAAGCACTTTGTATACCATTACTCAATTAACACACAGGGTGAGTTAAAAATTAAGGATAAATCATGGTTCGAGTTATTCCACCACCATCAAGAAGGCTTTGAAAAAATGTTCACCTCTTCATTTTTTTTCAAGACAAATGCATTACCTACCAACAAATTAAAAAAAATCGGCCTACTATTTTTTTTTTTTTCAAGAAGATAGGTCAAATATCAAGTGCGTCACTTTTTTTGGAACTGAGTGTATTTTATACATGATGAGACGATTTTTCTTCGTTTAATGGTGGCATTTTTGACAGAGGTGACAAATTTTACATTTTGCTTCCATTGTTTGATTCCTTCATCTTTTTTCTACAAAAATAGTATACCTCATTTTGATCGATATCTTGTACCGTTCTAGAGAATTCGGATGTTGAAAATTTGCTCATTATTGTTTCAGCTTCATATCAATGACAACGATTTGAGGACGATCAATTACAAACTACTGAACTGGTCAAATTTAAAGATTCTCAATATGGGCAACAATCCCTTCGTTTGTGATTGTAACCTGCACAACATTTCCGCATCTTTATCTGCAACTGTTAGCAAGAATTTAGACGGTCCCATATGCTTGGACAACCAAGGAAGAAGCACTCCGATCTACACTTTGAAAGAAATAGATTGCAGATCAGAGGTGAGTCACTTAACCTATAAACAACAAATATGACTGACCCTGGAGGTAAAATATTGCTACGTTATTCGGGTGCAGAAGCGAACACAACACTATTTATTTCCGAACTAAAGAAACACTAATTTATATCGAACTTACAACTACTATTTATGTAAAACGAGTTATATCACGCGGTATATAACTATCTCTCTGACACTCGCTGCTCGACTGACTGACGGCAGTTGTTCGGCCGTTTATATATGAGATCCCTTGGAAGGCTTTGGTTCGAGAACGTTCTCGAATGACGAATGATCTTCCGTTTCCTTCTTTTTGTTCTAGAAGCTTGTTAGAACAAAACCTCTCTCTTGTTCCATCGATTGTTTCCAGAACATTCCAGAATCTTCTGTCACGTTATTTGTCACTGCGGCATATATTGAGTGTTCGGGAATATGCTGGTGTATGTAGGAATCATTGGGAGGTTGGAGAACAATCTGGGATGCGTGTTACAGGATGATCGTTGTACTCCTGTCTTACTGATGATGTTTCTAGAGCCCCTCTAAGGGAAATATTACAATATTGAAACACAACCTCACTTTGCTGTAGAACATTCACTTTTTTTATATGTTTACAGAGAAATCAAAGGATTGAAATAGTTATTCACAACATTTTGGCGTACGAATCGTGTTTTTTGCGCTATTCATTAATTGAACCATGCCTTCTCATTGTGCTGTTGTACAGGGTGATCAGTTAAGGGTAGCGAGCAGCCATATCTCATAAGGTATTGGTCGTATAGATTTGAAAAAAAAAACACGATGAAAGTCGCCGTAGGCGAGTCCTGGAAGTCTGCGAGTCCAAAAAGACTGTTTTTGGACGTGTTGCGTACAATATTTTTTCGGCAACCATGTAGAATAACAAATCAATGAGACACATTTCCATATTATGGATTCGTATCAAATACTGGAATTTGAACAGAATACCTATACCTATTTTTGAAGGTAAGTACTGTTGGTCCGCATACACTAACTTTTCCTCCGCAAACACTTTTCGTTGTCTGTTAGGGTTTCATCGAGACGAGAAATCTCGCCTCGAAGGCACTTTCTCGTCTCGTCTCGTCTCGATCATCGAGACGAGAAATAAACAAACTCTCGTCTCGATGTTTTTCTCGAAGACAATTTCTCGATCTCGATTCGAGACTCTCGAAATTTCTAGAGTCTCGAAAACAAAAACTGAACGTTATTAAAAAATGCTATGTATAGGTTATAAGGCTGCACCAAAATACAGGGTATTGAATTTTCTGTATAAAACAATTACGTCAAAATACAGAGGCTATATGCTATGAACTAAAAGCCACGTATAAAAAAAAACCGCCGAGCATCAGCACAAATAAAGAATATTGTTCCAAAAAATTAAAATTGAACGAATCCTTGATGTTTCAATTTACCTAATCTTTTAACCATACTTTTAAATTTACCTAGGTACGAAAGGTGAAAGTTTAAAATTGTTTCTTCGTTCGTGAAGAATGTAACAACAACAGCAACAAACTCATTTCATATAATCGAAAAAAAAATTATTGAGCAAGTTATTTTATCTCAATAATAGGGGTCGAAGTACTGCATAATCGGAGAAAAGAAATAGATGAATATTGTTTGTCTAAGAGAGCTGAAGGGAATCAAGATATTTTAGAGTGGTGGAGAAAAAACGAGGCCATATATCCGAATTTATCAAAGATGGCTCGTGATTTTTTGAGTATTCAAGCTACTTCAGTTATGGCAGAAAGACTGTTTTCAAGAGCAACACTCACCATCAGTAAAGAACGAAGCCGATTAACTGGAGAATCGGCTCAACTTTTACTATGTTTGAATTCTTGGCTATGTACCAGAGATATATCTATACAAGTTTGTGAACAACAATTTTGTTCTCTGTTGAAAAACTTTGTTTATTGTTCATTTATTTTCTTATGATTTGTTAATTTTTGTGTGTTCAAATTTGATTTTCGTATTTGATAGTTTTTAATAGTTTAAGACGTTAAAGTTCTTTAAGAATATGAAGATATTTATTTCTACCTTTGTCCTTTTTATTTACTTTGTTATCTTTGTTATTTTTTTGTTATTTTCTGTTATTTGAAATTATTTGAACTGTGAGTTATTGCAGCACATATATTTTTTCGAGATCGAGAAATCTCGAAATAATTTCTCGATCTCGAAAAATCTCGAAGTGATTTTCTCGATCTCGTCTCGAAAAAAAAAAGTTAGTCTCGTCTCGATCTCGTCTTGAAATCGAGACAAGACGAGAAATTTCGAATTTCGAGTCTCGTGAAACCCTATTCTCTGTGCTCACTATTCACCCAATCAAGGGGTTCAAACTTGAACGATGGAAACTTGGTATTTTTATAGACCTTCACTCGCAGATTTGTGATTAGTTTTTCTCAATTCAGAATTTCTTTCCACGTCCTGTATGATGAATATCAATTCATCATACATCCAAAAACGAATGCCCAGATGACAGGAGTATGTCAACAAATCATAATTCTCCGATGTCAGTTCGTTATAGTTTTAGGTATATTATAGGGAGATGAAAATTGTGTATATCATGAAGAATGGCTGAAAGAATAACTGGACTTCAGGTTACTGATGAGGATTTGATATCTGAAATGAGTTTATTCGAGTGAGAGTAAATTCATATACAAAGTTTGCAAATCTGAACAGAAGCGAACAGAAGTGTAATTCACGAATTAAATTAAACCATGAAGTCCATTCCTATGAGACAAGGAACCAAAGAAATATATACATCGAGCCCACAAGAACGAACATCGCTTTAAATAACCCTTTTAATAAATGTATCAAAACTTTTAATTGTTTACCAGTGGCTTTGAGGGAAGCCGATAACATAATAGTATATTATGTAACAAGTGTTATAAACTTCCTTTTAGTAACGAGTATTTTAAGCACGAGCGGAGCAGAGCGGAGCGAGTGTTTAATAAACGAGTGTCTAGAAGAGTTTATAAACGCGTTACATACTATGATTTTTCTACGAACTCCAGAAATTACATTAACATACCTGCAATTCCTGCTAACCTACAAAATAATTCGAAAGGAATGGGAATTGAGAACATAATACATGCAACTGCATGCAACCAGCGAGACACGTATAAGTGATATTGGTTGTAGATGTCCAGTCCATTGCTTACTAACCTTTGTTTCACGTTTATTGTCATGCTTAGCGCAGAATAAATAAATTGTTCTCAAAGATGGGTGCTTCATTTTTACACTTCTTGGAGATATGCAAGTACCAGAACATTCTCTTCAATTTCACTCTCGTCTACTTTTCGCATATATTTTTAATGAAGAATTCTGATACAAACGAATATTGTTTGAATAATTCTGATACAAAATTCGAAAATAACAGTTGACAGTTGATACAATTGACAGGCCAGACATGTCTCAAATTACTGAAGCTGTGTTTAATGAACTGTGTTGCCATGGTAATGTGTTTAAGAAATCGTGTTGCCATAGTAACGTGTTTAATATTTTGAATAAATCACAGATCGACAATCCGTGATTAATCGATCATTTAGCGTGGTACATATCCGTACGCTAAATGCCATTTTAGTTATGTGAGTAGAAAAAAATATTTAAAACTGGGTTGTCAAAACGAATCTCTAACAATAACATAAGTGTATGAAGATCAGGTTAGGATAGTAACAATGAAATGGATCTGTGTAGGATTAAGAAGTTCCGAGACCAGCATCACGTGCTGATTTGGAATTATTTTTCAAATAGCATCGCAAACAGTTATGTACTAAATCAACAATAATTAAGATCAGATTGTGAACTATTTGAATGAAGCCTTAAAAAAAAGTCATAATGATTTTTTTCTGCAACCGACACAAAAGTCGTCCATTTTGATACCAAAATTAGCTCTTAAATTGACGTTTCTATTACTGACACAAAAATAGGTATGTTGCTAGGCAACATATTTAGTTCCTAGGAGCTAAAGTTGAATTTTTGTTCCTTGGGGCTAAAGTTGAACTTTAGCTCCTAGGAACTAAAAAGGATCTACTGGACGTCATCAAGAATAAACAACATTGTGACGGTTTGTTATTTGGGTAGAGACGGATACCTGATTTGTTTCCGATTTCAGCAGATTTGGCATTTCATACCCATGCTGGAGATATAAATACACATTATAGTTTAGTATTGGGATCATAAACATCTCAGTTACGTGTTTTTGTTTTGATCAGGAAAGCCTTCAAGATTCAAATACTTGCTCGATCTATATTTCATTCGTTATTCTCGGGATGGATAACTTGTTTTTGAATATTCACGGCGAGCAATAGTTTTTTGTCTCAAACAACGATATTGTTTAGCTTCATTTGATTATCAAGTCAAACACAGTGTAGTATGGAGAGGAATAAATAATCACTATTATCATTGTTGATATGCTCACTAGCCTAACATTTTCCACGTCTTGTTCCTATAGCTGGGGCGCGGTATTTGCCATTAGAGCACCTGGTCCATGCACAAATATGTCACTCTGTGGTTGTATTTATATTGAAACTACAATTCGAACATCCTAGAAAACCTAACCTGCTGTTAATGCAGGTAGAATATTCTCACCACATGGATTATTTGTCAATATTTGTTGCATTGCATACATATGGCACGGCGTTGGTGGTTACTTCCCATGTTTATTTGAGTTGATTGATTCGGTTGCAGAAAAAATAGGATGTTTCATTCGGATCAAAAGTGACTTTGTTCGACTCGCAAATTTTGCTTTCGCTCGGCTTCGCTAAACGCTCCGCCTCGCAAATGCAAAATTCGCTTGTCAAACAAAGTGTCACTTTTGATCCTAATAAAACAATCTACTATTTTTTGGAAGTTCCAAGCTTTTTTACGTAGATTACAAACGCTGTTTCATTTGGATTTTTGTTTTAGGTCTCACCATTCCACATCACCAAAGTGGCTCAACACTTTGAAACCATGAGGACTATCATGATCATACTGAGCACGATGTTGGTCATGGGAGCGATCATTCTCATTATCGTGTCATTTTTGAGATACAAAAAATCGGTAGCCTCCCAAAATTATCCTTTCATCACTCAAGTCAGTTATAACCCTCTGCAAACGCAATACATGTAATATATTATAGCTTTAAATATATAAATCTGAAAACTTTTTCACACTGTCTACAGGGTGGGCCACCAGTAACGCCTCGGTCTCTAGAAGGCTAACCACTCATCTTCTTGGAATTCTTCCTCTCTAGGAAGTTGCATGTCAACATAGGCTACCATTTGAAATTATTTTGAAACATACAGGATGTCCACAAAAATCACAAAACACTGAAGTTGAACTTTTTTCAATCGAACACCCTATTTATTATTTCATTTTGAGATTCTCCCTGGTGAGCTGATTTCAACAATCCATCATACTTGGGGTCTAGCAGTTATAATTACTGAGATATAGGGTGTGAGAAATCGAGATTTTCCAAGTTCAAGAATTTTTTGTGTCTAAACCATTCATAATTGGTCAAAACGGCTCACATGTCGCTATCTCAACTTTTGATCAACTATCTACTGACATTTAATTGAAACTAATAAAGGGTGGTGCAGAATTCAGAATCTTGATCACCCGGTATATGTCCCAATTAAATATCAGTAGATAGTTAATCAAAAGTTAGGATAGGGACATGTAAGCCGTTTTGACCAATTATGAATAGTTTCGACACAAAAAATTCTTGAACTTGGAAAATCTCGATTTTTCACACCCTATATTTCAGTAATTATAACTGCTAGACCCCAAGTATGATGGGTCGTTGAAATCAGCTCATCAGGGAGAATCTCAAAATGAAATAATATATAGGGTGTTCGATAGAAAAAAGTTTAACTTCAGTGTTTTATGGTTTTTGGGGACACCCTGTATGTTTCGAAATAATTTCAAATGGTAGCCTATGTTGACATGCAACTTCCTAGAGAGGAAGAATTCCAAGAAGATAAGTGGTTAGCCTTCTAGAGACCGAGGCGTTACTGGTGGCCCACCCTGTATATCCATGATATTTTTTCAAAATTTTTTTTTATGCATGGTGTTATAGTCCAACAGCGAAATGCAAATTTCGACCGCTATGTGATGAGGAAATTATACAGGGTGTTTCACAGGTAAAGGGAAATATCTCAATGGTACATAGGGGTCACCAAGGTGGTTCTGGAGTCTTCATAGCGGAGATACAGAGCAATTTATCGATTTCGAATGATTATTCATTCGTCTATAAGTATTGACATACCCAGTATATTTTTCTAAAATTTTGTATGGAGTTTATACTTGAGACGTTGAATTTATTTATTAAGTAACAATGGAATCTGCAATTCATTTCATGATGGTGCTGTAGGTTTTGCCGGGTTTTCCTACAGTTTTGAAAAGCAGATGCGCCACCCCGTTCAATGTAAGTTGCCCCGGCGCACAATCGGATAGACAATCAAATAATTGCAAATTCCATTTTTGCTTTGTAATATTGTTATAGTTGTAAGCACATAATATTATTCTCACATATTAGATAAGTAGTTAGGACTTGTACTACGCAAATTGTAAATTTGTCTCTGGTATAAATAAAATTCTATTCTATTCTATTCTATTCTATTCTATTCTATTCTATTCTATTCTATTCTATTCTATTCTATTCTATTCACCTATCGGGCGGAGTGAAAGTCCAGGTTCGGGTTCAGGAAAAATTTACATTTATTCGAAATATTAAAATAACACACTGTATGTAATAATTAACAGAATTTATCAAATAATCGTGAAGAGGAGGAAAAACTGACTTGGATTTGATGCTTTTTATTTTCCCGCCACCAATTCTCATCGTAACAATCATAAACAGAAAGTTGAAAGTATGTCAATTTGAAGAGTATTAAAATTATAAAACCAGTCTTAATAATGATTATTTGATATATTTTAGTTAGTTGATCGCTCGAAATAACTCACTACTAAGTTTCACAGTCTCTATAACGGAGATACAGGGTGAATTATCAGTTTCGAATAATTATTCACACGTCCATAAGTATTGAACTACCCAGTAATATTTTCTCAAAATTTGGTATGGACCTTACTTGGGAACTCGGATTTATTGACCTATCAGGCGAAATAGAAATACAGGGTCAGCTTCAGGAAAAGTCTCACAGTATAGTATTGATAACGGAGATACAGGGTGAATTATCGAATTATCGTGTAAGAGCAAAGCTACAGTGCCTCGCAGTGTAGATTTGAACTTCGCCATTTGGATTCAAAACTACACTCTTATGATATATATCTATATCTATATCTATATATGTATATGAATCGATGTATCACAGCTTTGAATCCAATAAAGACATTTATTATTATTATTATTATTATTATAATTATTTGATATCTTCTAGCTGTATAATCGCTAGAAGTATCAAATCCAATTCAGTTTTTTCTCCCGTTCATAATTATTTTCTTGATGAACTTTGTTAATAATCATTGAATACAGTGTGTTTTTTTTATATTTCGAATGAATGTAAATTTTTCCTGAAGCCTTACCTGTATTTCCATTCCGCCCGATAGGTCAATGGATCCAACGTCCCAAGAAAGCTCCGTACCAAATTTGAGAAAATATTACTGCGTAGTTTAATACTAATGGACGAGTAAATAATTATGCGAAACCCTGTATCTCTGTAATAAAGACAGTGAGACTTAGTAAGTTCTTTCGAATGATCATTTAACTAAAATATATCAAATAATCATAATTAAAACTGGTTTTATAATGTTAATACTCTTCAAATTAACATACTATTAACTTTCTGTTTATGATTGTTACGATGCGAATTGGTAGCGGGAAAACAAAAAGCATCAAATTCAATTCAGTTTTTCCTCCTCTTCACGATTCCTTCGATGAACTCTGTTAGTTATTACATACAGTGTGTTATTTTAATATTTCGAATAAATGTAAATTTTTCCTGAAGCCGAACCTGGATTGTCGCTCCGCCTGATAGGTGAATACATTCAACGTCCCAAGTTTGAGCTCCATACCAAACTTTAGGAAAATATACCGAGTAGTTCAATACTTATAGACGAATGAATAATTATTCGAAATCGATAAATCGCCCTGTATCTCCGTTATGAAGACTCTAAGACCTATCAAATATGGTATTTTCAGAATCACCTTGGTGACCCCTATGTACCACTGAAATATTTCCCTTTAACTGTGAAACACCCTGTACAGGGCTAGTTTCATTAATGTAAACCCCCTTTATCTTTTTTGTTTCACACTCATTTAAAAAAAATTAAAGCTGATTTCATACAATTTTTCATACAGATTTCACTCATATTTACAATTATGCAATATCTCTTCAAACATACAGGGTATTGAAAAAAATATATTTTTTCAAATGGAATGCGCCGTATATTTTGATATATTTGAATTCCTCAATTCATCCTGATTTCAAATATATGATATAAGCAGGAATTCATATCGAAATATACAGTGCATTCCATTTAAAATGTATATATATTTTCTGAATTCCCTGTATATTGCTATACTATCATATTGTAATACTGTCACTATGATTGGAAGTTTTGATTGATGGAAAACAAAAAAGATTAAGAGGGGTTCACATTATTAAACTAACCCTGTACATATATGTCCCAAAGGCATGTAAGCACATTATATTTTTTCTACAGCTATAACACAACATTGATGCTCTTCATTATTCCAAATTTTTTGGGAAACTTCGTGGATATAGTCAATTGTCAATTTCTTTATATGAAAATCCCTCGAAAAACCCTCCACTATTAAAATTCAATGTTTTAGGTGAGGGAAAAAAATAAGGAATTTAATGAGCTCTTAAAATATAGGGTGTTCAATTTAAAAAATCATAAGTTTGGTATCTTCAAAACCACACCCCGAAAAAAAAATTTTTGTGCGCCACTGGATTCTGCATGAAATTCTCTATGGGTTAAGATTTCAATTTGACATTTTCGCTGATAAACTTCGTAGATATAGAGGGGTCCAAAAAGTATAAATTTTCAAAATCGCCCTGTATCTCATAAAGGGAAACAGTCTTGCAAAATCTGATTAGGCCATCTTGAGTTTCACAAAAAAGTGGCACAGGACCGCGAAAACCGCAAGGTTCTATCTCCAAAGATAACTGAGATATCAGGCAAAAGTATCGAAAACTGGACACACTGTACTTACTCTAAAATAGACTAATACTTATGGTATGCCTTTTGGTAATGATTTCTAATGAGCTCAACTTCATATTGTAATTCAGTTAGTTTTAGTTGTTGAATCAATTTTCTTCGGGATTTTTTTGTAATTAAATCATGGATTTTTTCTTACCTCTTCAGTTCCTTCAAGCTCCTTGGTGTAATCCAAAAATTGGTGTAAAACATTTTCCGTTTTTTTCGCCAACTCGACGAACATATACAGAGTTTCTATTTGTTCTGAGCAATTTGAGCAAATTGCATGTGGCAAATAATCATCTTTTGACACCTGAAAATAAAAAATGAGGAATAGGCGAGTGGACTAATTTTTTTTATTTCTTAAATAGAATCAGAATGTAAAAACAAATTTAACTAAAAAACAAGTATTTTAAGAACATGCCAGACAATATGAGAACAAGTTGAACGAAAAAAATATTTGTAAAAATCTTCTCATCTAAACAGAAAGAAATACAACATAGTAGTAGTCTCCACATATACAGAGTGACCCATTTGAAAGCGGGCCACCCCTGTATCTCACGTAATCGTTGGGTAAGGATCATGAAATTTGCTGGAGCGAGAGATATACCAAAAATGCACTCTATGACCAAGTGGGGTCATCTTCAGTGATATACACTGCTCGCCAACAGCCATGGAACCACCCCAATTTCCTGAAATTGATATTAGGAGTCAAAATAGGTTGAAAATCACTTCGGATTCGGAATCAGGACGCCCAATTTACTAACTCTTCATATTTTTCCTTGAAAATTTTCAGTTCTGAAACATTAAATTTTGACGCACTTTTCATGGAAGCACCCCCATATCTCACGTAATTATTGAGGTAGGGTTCTAAAATTTGCAGGAGGAACGGAGAGTCCAAAGATAAAGTCAATTACGTGAGATACGGGGGTGCTTCCGTGAAAAGTGCGACAAAATTTAATTTTTCAGAACTGAAAATTTTCAA